TCCAACTCTACTTTTCTATGTTTCTGTGATTCTGTAACCATGCATAGGGAACGATGAGTGCAAAATAGATTCCTCACATAGAAAATCCCTTTCTTGGGTCCAGGTCCAAATGGCCGTTGTGGCTGGCTCCTCCTCTTCCAATAACTGTCACTCACTGGGGAGAACTAACAGGTTTGGGATCAGGCAGAATCTTCCTTACACCACCTACTCACTAGATGGTGAGTACCTCTTTTCTCTTTTTGACCCTTCTGGGTCAAAAGAAAGGGCAGCTGAACAAGTAAGCAGTGGCAAGCAGCAGTGGCTGGGGAGGAGGTGTCTTCCTTTATTTACTTTTAACATTTATAGACTGCCTCATAGCCCAGAGGGCTCTCTGAGCAGTTTACAATCAAATACAGTGAAGATAACAGTAGCTATAAAAGTTGGTCTTGCCCCAACCGAAGGGCCCGGCACCTGAACCTGCATCAAACAGGCGCTGAACAGCGTTTGGGTGCCAAGCGAAAGCTGGCAGTATGTTCCCGGGCAGAAAGGAGGTTCTCTTAGTTTTTGCATGATCGTGTGCAAATATGGAGGGGAGGGGGCGACTTTCCTTACAAGGCTTTCATTGCAAGGCATCAGCCGAATGGGCAGAGGTGGAACCAATCTCAGCACTACTTGCAAGCATGAGGTTCTGTGTTGCTGCTCATTCCTCAGCCCTGTTCAGCGGGCACTGCCGGAGAAAGAAGGGAGCATGATTAGATTGTCCTTCCCATGCACCTGACAACATGTGGGGACTCTTATACTGACGGCTGATCTGTCTAGGCAGGTATTGTGGAGCCTGAGTGGCAGCAACTGCAGGACTGCAGGGAGGGTGCTTTCCTGGTCCTAGCTGGAGATGCTGTGGATCTTCTTCGGGCAAAGCAGGAGCTCCAGCCCGCTGAGGAATCCTCTTCCCAGTTATACGGGCTCTGCCCCACCAGAACTTATTCTGCAATATATACCTGTTTGTCTTTAAGGTGCCGCAACACTCACTGTTCTTAAACAGCAGCATCATTGGAAATGAGGATGTGTTGTTCCCAGCCTTCTTAGCATCACGTATGCATTTATGGAGATTAGTTTTTTGATGGATGGCTTGCATTTGGCATGCAAATATTTGAATTGCTGCCAAGTTGGATTGATTGGCAAGATCCTCTCTATCTGCAGTTTATCTGTACCAAATGCGGCACTCAAAGTAATCAAATAGAGTACTAATAAGTCAAAAGCCCTGCTGGCTTTGAAATGATAATAGAATGATGCTTAGGGTGAGTGTATATCTTGTGTCTCTTAGCATACTGTTTCTGTTCCTAGAACAACCTCCCGAACAACCTTTGCTCTCTAGCCAGTCCATGGACCTTACCATATTCCCTGTAGAATAAATTTCCCTAGACCCATCAAGCCTGTAAGTATCTTATGCTAGGAGCTATCTCCGGATCTGGCTGATGGCTGATCCTGCCTAAACTTGGAAATGAAGCAGGGTCAGGCCTGGTTGAAATCTGGATGGGTGTCTTAAATGTTGCGAACCACTCAGAGAGCTTCAGCTATGGGTGGTACAGAAATGTAATGTAATAATAATGAAGATGGTGGATCGGCTCAAGGTTAACTATGGAGCTTCATGGTAACCCGAATCTCCTTGATTGTAGTCTGATACTCTTAAGCCAGGGTGCTGAACCTCTTTCAGTCTGAGGGTTGAATTCTGTTGCATAGAAACTCTTGAGAGCTGAATGTCTGTGGAGGGGTAGGACCCAAATACAATGATTTTTTAAAATTTAATTTGCAAGAGTTATATACCACTCTGTATTCTGGTATGGAGATTTCAGAACAGTGAACAGTAGAAGCTATATAACAGAGCAACATGGTATTTTGTAAACATAAGTTGATCGCTTTGAGGATTGTGTTTAGTGGCCAATTTTAATTGAAAGCTCTTATTGCTCATAGCTAATCTTAAAAAAAGGCACTTCAACTTTTAGAATGGGAAAAGATTGTACAACAATTGGTGGATGGGGAAAATGGGCATCAATGTCTTGGGACTTGTCCATTGAGCTTGAGATTTTGCACTGCTGCTCTAAGTCCTATGCCAGGCTTCTGTGCTCTCCTCATTGTGCTACACTTTGGTCAAATCTTCCATGGAGTTATCGAAGTGGGCAGGAAAAGTCTCTTCTTATGAGAAGGTGCTGACAGGTAGTGGTGGAGTCGATATTTCAATCCACACCATGCCAGCATGTGACTGCTAACTAGCTAGCATGCGCGTGGGATTGCTAACTTGTTCGCAGCCCCACTGACAACAGCTTGGGCAGTGGGCTGCTAGTCAATCAGCAATCACACATGCATGGTGCTGAGACAGCCCCTGCCTCCATTGCTGCCTCCCAAAAAGAGAGAGTGCTACTTTTTCCTTCCGGGTGTTCCACAGCATTCACCAGCAATTCCTGCTGGCAAACTGCTTCACTGCATACCTCGCCCAGCACACCAAGAGTGCTTGGCTAGATGCCCCAAGGAAGCTCACAAGCAGAGAACAAGCATGGTGACAGGCCGTCCCCAGAGGTTTGTTCCTGTCACCCAGCACTTTTTTATATGTAGTGCCTCTGCCTATGCTTATTCCCTGACATCAGTAACTGACATCGGTTATTGATAAATCTATTTTGTCTCATCCTCCTGAAAAGCCACATGCTAGTAATTATCACAAATTCTGGTGGCAATGAATAGCAGAAGCGATTGGCATGTGCCGTAACTTTTCCTATGTTCCCACCCCTGCTGAGTGTGGTGGTGGTGAGGCCATGGAAACTGGCTTGGACTTGGATTGCAGGGAAGCTTCTTGGGCAAATCTCTGTAGGCAAGCTACCTTGCAAGCCAAATGTGTAGGAAAAATAGGAGAGCTGGACCGTCTTGGAGAAGGAGGACCATGTACAAGATCCTGAATCACTTTGGTCTGATACTTAAATAAGGGCACCATCTAATGTGCAATCCATGTTGGCTGAGGCATGCTGGGAGTTGTAGGACATTTTTCTTTCCAAACACATATAGGATTGTACTGTAAAAAACACTAGTCACTTTAGTCAGATGATCCTGAGTTCTAGTGTTTTTGAAGGAAATAATTTTTCTCCACACTTTTGACAGCATTCATGTATTTCTATATCTCAGAGTCTAATTAGATGGGACATGGGAGATCTTAATTCCTTTTTGTTTGTTGTATTTTGGTTAAACAGCCATGTGAGCCCCTAATGCTGATCAAGACTGTGGTGTTGCAGGCCAGAGAGGGATGTTGACCCTTCTCTCGTGTCGTTTCCCTGATTTGACTGCTCACCCTTCAACACCTCTGTTGGTCATGGGCTGCCTTTTCCCCTCTGCACCAGTCTTGGGTGCAGATACTCTAGTCCAAGGGCCAAATCCAGCTCACCCAGCCCCAGTCTGCCCCCCTGGGGCTTCCCAGATGGCTATATCCCTTTCCTTAGCTCCACCTTCTTCCTCCTTCCAACTACTGATCTTTTGTGGTGTTTTTCTGGGTTTTGTGCAGTTTTCCCCCAGTCTAAAAGGGTGAAATTGTGCTTCTAAAGCATAGTCATTGGCCAGAAGGGCTTTAAGTGAAAATAGGCTGGTGTTTTGACTCTTCCCCTTTTGCCTCCAGGCTTGCTCAACAGAGGAATGAGGTTCTACGGAGCTTCTCTGAAGGGGAATTTGGCCCTTGGGCTGAAAGAGGTTCTGCACTCCTGCCAAAGGGGTGATTTGGCTTGGAGTCAGGGGATGGGTCCAAACCAAATCCCCCTTCAATACCATCATTTGGATCCACATTGGCCATTTTATTTTTGGCTCGAAAAGAGGCAGGAAGAGATTGGATCATGGATTTCCCATCTTGCATCTTGTTTAGCCCTCAGAGCCCATTGAAACCGGACACTACCCATCTGGAGGCCGTAGGGAGACCATTTCATGCAGAAGCCATCATGCTGGGCATCCACTTCAGTAGAGAGTATCTGTGCATGTGTCCACTGCTGCTAGAAATCTGTACTAGTAGCATGGTTCCCTACACATGGCCATAGAAGTGCAGCATGTGGGTATCAAAAAGAATATTACACATGGCAGCAAATTAGATAAGGCACCTGAGGTGTAAGGACAGAAACTGTTCTGAGCAGGACTGCAAAATTTGTGACTCACCAAGCTGAACTATATGGCCCGCCAAGTCAGGAGGCAAAACTGGGAGGCATACCGAGTCCCTTGGCTGGCTGCCACTCACAGCCACATTTGTCTTGGTGTATCACAAAGTGCCAAGGACCTAAATTAAGGTGGTTTCTATCCTCTGATGAAGAGGATGCTCACTTTGGGAGCCCCTGCATTACATGCAGAAGATCCCAGCGTGATCCCTGGCACTCCAGGAAGGACTGAAAAAAATCCTGCCTGAAACCTTGGAAAGCTGTGGCTGCCAGTCAGTGCCAGCTCTACTGGGATTGAGGGACCAAGGGAGGGTCTGACTAAGTGTAAAGCAGATTCCTATGGCCCTAAGCTCCTATTGTGACATCATGATTTGTTGGGGGAACTCATTGACTGAGTTTATGTTGTTATGGAGGGTGTAACCGCCCCTCGTTTTCTTTTTTTCCTCTCTGTTAGAATGAAGAAAACAATAAGATAAAATCCAACTCTTTTATATGAAAGTGACCAAGAAAAATGCAAGGATAGCAAGGGGACCACTTAATCTATTGTTCCAACTAGGGAAATACCAGGTAATCAGGGACAGTGGTGAGGAGTCCAGGACCGAGAGAGCTGACTCAGAGGGCATGGAGCATGCCGGCGGAGGGGGGGCTGGTGCCCTGCATCTGACCCTTAGCACCCTGAGCTTCCTCCCTCTTCCTGCCCAGGTCTCACTTGGCTTCCCAGAGGGAGGAGACTTTCAGCCACCCGAGCCTTGCGATTGGCCAGGAAAGTTGAGCCCAACCCAGCCAGGAATAAAAGGTGACAGGGAGTGAGCATCTTGCCTGCCTGCCTGCCTGCCTGCCATCAGGATGAGCAGCTTGGCCTTGTACCGTGGTATCTACACTGAAGAGCGCTTCCAGCAGGGCTATGGGGCACCGCCAGCACCTCAAGGCAGCCTGGCAGAGATGCTGAAAGGCAAGCTGGCCCAAGGGTGCCGGTGCTCCAGGGCTGCCGCCCTGCACTTACTGCGAAGAAGGCTGCCCATCGCCAGCTGGCTGCCCAGGTACCAGCCCAGGAAGTGGCTTCTGGGCGATGTGGTTGCAGGGCTAACCGTGGGCATTGTACACATCCCACAAGGTAAGTGTGTGTGTGTGAGTGTGTGTGTGTAGGGACACAGCTGCACTGAGTGCCGGTGGAGATCCTAAGAGAGATTGCACAAGAAAAGACAGAAAGAGGACGTTATCTGAGGAAATCAGTTTTCCCTTCTCTTCTTCTGAGCTCTCCTTTGTTACAGAATGAACAGTGGCAATCATTCTGGAAGCCTCTTCTCAGCTAGCTAAAAAAGGGATTATTTGGGAAATCGGGTGAAGGGGCACATGTCCAGTGAGGCATCATCCCTGCTCCACATGTGTCCTCTTTAATCGCTTCCTTGCCTATCTCTCCCAAGATCTCTGATCTTCACAGGTTTTTAATCCCCTTCCTCACTCTTAGCTACCCAATTTCTGATTTCCTTCAAAGATTTCACATCATTCCTCCAGAAATTCTGATTTCTGTCTTTCTCCCTGCTCCTTAAATCTGGTTCTGATACAGGCTCCTGATCTCCCTGGGATGTGAAGTGTCTCCACCCCCCACAACCCTCTCCGTTCCCTTTATATGGGGTTTTGGATGACTACCTTTCCCCATTATTCCCCCCAGGTTTTGCCGACCAGGTCCCAGGCACACTGTTCAGAGTTTTGTCCCATACCCATTTCCCTGGTCATTCCAATTCTGCTCCTGCAAGCCAAACAGCCCTCTTTTATCCCCTCTTTGCCCACATACTTTTCAGATCCTTGAACAGCTTGGTAGTTTCCTTTGGAATACTGCACATTCTGTTGTCTGGATTTCCAAGGCTGTGATCGTGTGCGCGCTACCTGGGAGACAGCCCCTTCATGCTGTACAGCTGACTTCTAAGCAAACATGCACAGGCTTGGGCAGCCTGCCTCACTCCAGGAATTGTTCTCCTTTCTTCTCTTGCTGGATCCGGGAGGCTGCAGCTATGTGGTGGAATAGAAGAGAAGTGAAAAAAGAAACTCAAGTCCTGGATCTCTCTCTGCCCTGGAGGCCCCAGGTTGGACTCGTGCCGGGCCCTTGTTAAGGTGGAGTTTCTCTTCCTCCATTGTCACCTCGGCCTTAAGCAACTGGGGTTAATGGAGCATGCATCTGTGAGCTCCTGGCCAGCACTGCTGTAGTATATTCTCCCTTGCCTTTTGATCGAGTAAAAGAAGGAAACATTCAGCGGGGTAGGTCTCCTCCCCACAAAGAAGGCTGGAGACAGTCCTATCAAATGTCTAGCTGTTGGAGAGCCTATTTGCATGGGTCCTGCAGGTTGTTTTAAAACTTCTAGATGGGACGGCCCTCTCTATTGCAGCAAAACCAACCCAGAGTCTTGTGACGCCGTAAAGGCTTAACAGGTTTCTTGTAGCCTGAGCTTTTGTGGACTACAGTACACTTCCTAAGATGTAGGATGAAACAGGCATGACTGCATCTGGAGGAGTGGATTCTGGCCCATGAAAGTTTCTGTGCTATGCAGTCAGTACACGACATCGCTAAGATGCCATGAAAGAATGCATTTTTATTTGTTATGCAAAATGTTGCTTTGGGAAAGTAGCATTTTTAGAATGGGGTATTTCAGAAACACACTGGCAGCAATATGTGAAACAGATGCTGCCCAAGTGTGGGATTTTCTGAGTATCAGATGCTTGGCTCTTAGAAGTCTAACTGGGACTGACTGATTGATTTATATCCTGCCTTTTTCCTACAAAGGGCTCAAGGCAGCTTACATCATTCTCCTCCTCCATCTTATCCCCACAACAACAACCCTGTGAGGTAGGCTGGGCTGAGAGTCTGTGACTGGCCCAAAGTCACCCAGTTGGCTCCATGGCCGAGCGGGGACTCGAACCCAGATCGCCTGAGTCCCAGTCCCACGCTCTTAACCACTACACCACACTGGCTCTCTTGATTGTTGATAGTCCAGAGAAGGGGTACTCAAGGGCTTTCAGTCTGAGGGCCAAATTCAGATTCCAAAAAGCTCTTGGTAGCCACGTTCTCACAAGCCAAAGGGGGCAGAGCCAAAGGAAAGGGGTGGAACCCCAAGTGCCCAATGCACCGCATCATATTTTAACAGAAATCTCCTTCTGCAAGTAAATAAGCTTTAGAAAAAGCATTTCAAACTTTTAGAATAGGGAAAATGCACCAAAGTAGGGAAACCACCAAAGGATTGGTGCTTGATGGGGAGAGAAGTGGGAAGCAGCTGGTGACGGAGGAATGGGGTGTGGCCAGCTGAAGAATCCAGGAGGGGAAGATTGGTACCCTGGGCTGGATGGGTCCTTGTGTCTAAGGAGGCTCAGACAGCCAGCAGAGGCAGCTTTCGGGTCTATCTGCCTTTGCCGCTTGGCAAAAGGGCTACATGGCCACTGAGCCTGGGTAGGTCTCATTCTCTTCCTTCCTCTAGGGCAGCTGCCGCCTCTGATCTCCCCCAGCATCCCTTATCCTTGGACTGCATTGCTGGGGAGTGGATGGGGGAGGCTCTAAGAGGGTGCCAGGAGAGGAGCAGCAGTGACATTGCAGGCAGACTCCCCAGAGCATGTTTCCTATGGTAGTTCCTCTGCAGGTAAGGCGGTACTGCCCTGCAGCAACTGCTTCACAAGCATATCCATGCCCAACCCTATCCTGAAGGTGATTCCAGATGATTCCATGAAGCAAGGGCTTCTGTTCCATGGGCTCCCCTTTTGTGGGGTTTTCTGGTAGCTCAAATGTTCTCCACCCTGGCATCCTGACACAGATGTGGCAGATCCATCATCCCCAGCCAACCTGGCCACTGGGAATGATGGAGGTTGTCCTCGGACCCATCTGGAGGGTGCCCAGTTGAGAGGGGCTGCCTAACAACCCCTTTGCAAAATGAAAATGCAACCCAGATAACTCAGCCCTGTGCTCATGAATTACCTGATAATACCTTGTCCTAGCCCAGCTTTTCTCACCCTGAATACAGACTCTTCCCCCAGTTTGCTGCCCGGGCAGGAGGGACTTTCAGCCAGCCGCATAACAGGACTGGCATTGTAGCTCTGTGCAGAGATTCTTTCTTCCTCTGCTTCTGGTTTGGCACTATTAGAGAGAAGACAGCTGCTGTCTGGTCTCAGCCCAGATGACTGAGATTGCATGTGCCAGCCAGTTTCAGATGGCTGCCAGGTAACTTCTGGTGTTACCTGTGGTTCAATATGTGTAATGAACCCCACATGGCGATTGTTTCCAAGCCAAAGCAGCTTTTGGGGGGGGGGGGGCTGCTGCTGAGGATTTGTATACATTTGGAGGCCTGCAGAAGGAGGAATAGCTGAGCTGACTTGGAATAGAGAAGCAGCAGGCGGGTAAAGGGTTAAGCACCCCCCTCCTCACTCCACCCAGCCTAGTGCTCCAAGTCATCTTATCCCAAGCCCTTTTTGTTACTGAAACTACCTGTCAGGGCTGGGTCATGCTGCCTTCTTAAGACCATGTATTTACAATAATGTGTACCTAGGCCCTGAGTGTATGCAAAAATTGGAATACCTGGTATATAAAAGAGGAATCGTATCTTTTGGGATCTCATCAAACAGTATGTTCTGTACAGTTAGAACATGTGTGCTGGCTCAGCGACTAGAAGAAGAAAGTGCAGGTTGCTGCCTGAGAGGGAGCCAAGCAGAACTTCAGGGCTTCCCTGCCTGAACAGGAAGAGGGTGGACTTGGCTTCCTGGATTTCTCGCCCTTGCTCCAAGTGGCAAGGGACGACTTGTGCCTTGATCCCTTGCTGTGCAATGCATTGCTGTGAAAGAGTTTGGAATGGAGTTGCAGGACTTCCATTGGAATCCGAGTGAGTGGACCTTGTGAAGCCTGAGAGGCAGTGGCTGCTTCCGGCAGCAACACAAGAGGTGCAAAGTAGATAGGGCTGTCCGTGCCACGCAGGCTTGCCCTGTGCCCCCTAAGTTAGTCTGCAGCAGAGTTGAAATAAAATTTGCCCGCTTGGTCAGCTTTGGTCTGTGGGATGGGGTGCAGGAAGAGAAGAGGTGCCATCTTGCCCTTTGCCTCAAAAGCAAAATGCTTTGGGTTGGCCCTGAACTGTCAACGGGGCTTGTTTGAAGCCAGGTCTCAGCTGAACTCATTATTTTCAAGACCCAGAACAGAGAGGTCTTTCTTTGAAACCTGGAGGCTAGTAATCCCAGAAGTCACTGCTTACGACCTGAAGTGTGGTGTGGTGGTGATAGTGCTGGACTAGGGACCTAGCAGATCTGGATTTTAGTCCTCACTCAGCCAAGAAGCCCACTAGGTGACTTGGAGTGTGTCACCCTCTGCTTTAACCCACCTCACAGGTTTGTTATCAGGATAAGATGGGGAGGAGGATCTGTAAGCTGCCTTGGGTCCCTTGCAAGAGGAAAAACTGTGGGGTAGAAATGTAATCATCATCATACTTATTCCAGAGGTAGCTGGTAAAGGAGACACATCTGCAGATGCTCAAAGATGGGTGGACGCAAGAGGGTCCTGGATTCTTCTTAATGTTCTACTCCACCAGTTGTAATGCAGGGTGCCTTGAGTGGCCCTCCAGTATCTATGGCAGTGAGGAGGCCACTGGAGCGGAGGGGGGTCAATGTCATTTTGGAGGCCCCCTCCTTCGGTGAGCCTGCCTTCTCCCTGCTCATGCCAGCAGCTGCTCTTGCTCCTGTCTCATCACTTCTGCCATTTGCTTGCTTTACTGGCAGAAAACCAGTGGGTGGGGGTGGCAACCGCCGCTGCCACGGCTGCTCCTCCCCACCACCACCGCCTGGGCCAGAGAAAGAGGCCGGTGAACAAGCAGTGGCAAAGAGGGGGTGGAGGAAGCGCAGGGGCTGCTCCTGGAAGGAGGCCTTTGGCAGGTGGCCCGGTTCTTTCTTCCTAGCTCAGAGGCACCTGTGGGCCTGATCATTACAGTGTGTGTGTTTTGAGGTTTGCACTCCTGCCCTGGGTGTTTACCTATCCTTGGCCTCCCAGCCGAGGGGGATTATGTCTCTTGTTCTGTTTGCTCTTGCTACAGGAATGGCCTTTGCCCTGCTCACCTCGGTAGCGCCAGTCTACGGACTCTACACTTCGTTCTTCCCCGCCTTGCTGTACATGCTCTTTGGCACTGGGCACCATGTGTCCACAGGTAAGGGTACCACCAGATGCACTCAGGCTGCTGTACTCCGATGTGGTCTGGGCCCTTCTGGTTGCAATGTTCTTCCAGAGAGCTACACCTATAAAAGCAGCGTTTCATTTTCTCCCATATAGATGAGTGGTCGCTATTCACTTCTGCAGAGAAAAGTAATGCCCAGTGCTTGGGGTCATCGTGGCCCTGAGGGCAAAATGTGGAGCACCCCTCCTAGACCCAAATTCTGTAGGGAAGCAAGGATGGGGGTGCTGCTACCTTCCAGAAGTTGTTGGGCTTCAGGGTTCTTAAGCTCCAGCCACCATGGTCAGTGCTCAGGAATGATGAGAACTGTAGCCTAACAACATCTGGAGGGCTGTAGGCTCTTCACACCTTTTGCGGGGGGGGGGTCACATCTCTCAGGAGTTTAATATACAATTCCCTTTGCCCTTCCCATCAGTTATAATGGTGGCTGTTCTGGTAGTTAATGGTAATATTTATCAATTTAAACTAGGCACATTTATTAAAATAAGTTTACTCTCCATCTGTCTGTTCTTAACAAGCATTTTCAAAAGCTGCACTTTTCACTCCCAGCATAAAACATTCATTCAGAACTTACGTACCCATTATATTTCAAATTCAGATTTTTGGGAACCATCTGAACAGATCTGAAATGTGGGGATTCCTCCAGACCCAACTCATGGCTGCTCTTAAGGGGGAAATAACATGCTGCCACCTTGTACTGAGTGTTGCTTGGAGCCCTCCATCTGGAAGCACCCTGATCATTATTTCTCAGCAAGAGTGGGGTAGCCCTGGAATAGAGTAGAGATTTTTTAGCTCTCTGAATGTGAAAGATCCAGCAGGGAGTATTCTCTTTTATGTATCTCTTTGAAGTAGTTTTGTGCCACTCAACCGAAATGGCTCCCAGAGTGGCTTTTCTGGAGGCAGCCCCTGCCCACAGGGGCTTACAATCTGAAAAGATGTGACACAAAAGGAAAAGAAACAGGGAGGGCAAAGGAAAAAAAATATTTCAGGAAGGTTAGTAGAGCAGCCCTGCTTTCCCTCCTCATCTTCCTCCGTACAGGCTGCTGGAATGGCTGCTTGTGGTATCAATGGAGTGAGGAGTGGTTTTCATGGGGTGTGTCTTTCATCAGGGCTGGCAGGATGGCCCCTCTTCCCGCTCTCAGGAGGGGGAATGAGCCGCAGCACTACTGCCAGGACACAGGGTGCTCCTGAGGCATGTGACTCAGGATGGTGCATCGGGATTTCATGAGTTCCCCCGTACCTTGTGCCCCTTGCTCCTCCACAGGTACCTTTGCTGTGGTCAGTCTGATGACGGGCTCGGTGGTGGAGCGCCTGGTTCCTGTGTCCCAACCATCCAATGGCACGGCAGCCCCCGAGGAAGCTGCTTCTCTGGAGGGGCAACGCATAGCTGTGGCAGCTGCCATGGCCTTCCTCATGGGGCTCCTCATGGTGAGTTGCGGGGGGGTGCTGCTGAAACGTGGTTGGTCTGAGCAGGCTTGAGATGGTTTACTAAAACAGAAAAAGGCAGAGCCAGAAAGGGCTTGAGTGGCTGGCAAGGAAAGGGCTGGCAAGGTGGTTACACTGTGCGGATTTGTAGGATGCATCCAGCTAACAAGAAGAGCAGAGAAGTCAGAGGTCTTTTCCTTCTGGATGTGGAGCCTTCCTTCCTAGCTCTGTTGGCTGACAGCTGCTGTCCTGCCTGCTGCCACCCCATGGTGTTGCCTGATCTTTTAAAAAAGTCATCTGTGCTAGGGACATCTCAGGGCAGTGAATCCCATCAATTAACTGTGCATTAGATGAAGAATTATTTTTGTCTGTTTTGTAAGATTTCTGAGTCTGATGTCATCAAGGGCTAAGATTCTCAAACCTTCTTGTATTGCCCTTTGGAAACCATATTCCGCAAGTCAATTTTTGAGGTTTCCCTAGGCTTAGTCCACACACTTGTATTCACAAAGGCTAGAAACATTGACAGCAACAATAGCACTAGCCAAAGAAGTGAAGTCATGCACACAGTTCCGCATTCTACACCTTTTCTTCCTGTGGAATCTCAGCAGACATCCAGGCCCGATTCCAGAAAACACCCTTGTGCGACTCACATGCCCCCTTCTACCCTAGATAGTGATGTTTACTCTTCACCTGGGCTTCCTCTCCACCTATCTCTCGGAGCCTGTCATCAAGGCCTTTACCAGTGGTGCTGCCTTGCACGTAGTGGTGTCTCAGCTCCAGAGCCTGCTGGGCTTGCCCGTGCCACGGCCTGATGGCTGCTTCGCCATCTTCAAGGTATGTTGAACGGTGTTCTGGGCCCCCAGAGGCCTCTGCTTCTGAAGTCAGCAGGAATGTAAATGCAGATGGTGAATGCCTTGCTTATTCCTGGTCACCCAATCATGTTCCTGCATGCAACATATAGGAGATAGCAGCTTTCTGGGCTAAGAAGAATCTACATTTCTTTATAGTTGGAAATATGGCCTTTCTTTCTCTCCTTCTCTCTCTCCATCCTAGCATGTTGCTTTTAGGCAAAGTTTTGTGGCTGATCAGGTATGCTGCCAGTGCCATGTTGATTGAAGCTGGAAGGTTTCAGCAGGCATAGCTGCTCCTTTTTCCTGGGCTGCTGAAAGCATTCCAAGCTACCCCTTTGACAGAAGACCCTTTCTTAACTCTGTGCCAGATGGTTCATGGCTTGTGTATCATTCCCTAGACGCTGGCATCTGTTGTGGAAGCCTTACCCTTAACCAACGTAGCTGAACTGCTTATCTCAGGCCTCTGCCTGGCTGTGCTGGTACCAATCAAGGAGATCAACAACCGCTACCGTAACCGGATGAGGGTCCCCATCCCAGGAGAGATCATCATGGTAGGTGGGAAGCCTTTAACCAAAGCAGTCGAGCCCCCTTTTTTCATCATCTAGCCACTCGTGGAGGACCTAGGTGGAGGACATTAACACTTTATGCTTGCAAATTGTCTCCATTCAGTCCACGAGAATGTAGTTGCTTTGCATATTTCTGGTTTCAAAACTGAGGCTCTCAAAGGCTGTGAAAAGTCTGGAGTGGATCCAGCATTAGGCAGGTGCAGCAGGGCTGGCAAAAGCAGACTTCCCCACCCTCTCCTTACCATGGCAGATCCTCCAGTCCACTAAAAATGCTGCACAGGGGTGCCAGTGACCCTTCTGAAGGGGATAAACAGTGGTGCAAGGAGGTGAAGTCCTCCAGAACAGAGCAGAGGCAACTTCCAGAAGTAGATCCTTCCATTCACAAAAAGCAGATCCTGGATCCAATAGGATGTAACAGGTGCAATCCCTCAAGCCTTTGACTCAGAACTGTCCCATATGGGGTCCCAATCCAGCCCTGCATGGGTTCCATGATGATCATATACCCCTTTCCCCTAACCATCAATAATTTGATGGTTTTCTGTCCTTTGCACAGTTTCTTTTCTTTCTGAATGGTTGACATGCCTCACTGAAGGCTTAGTTATTGGCATTACGACCTTCAAGCTAAACCATGATATCTGGGCCCTGTCCCCTTCACTTTGGTCTCCATCCACTATTAGAATATGGCATGCAAGAGCTTCTTCAAAATAGATTTTTGCCCTTGGATAGAAAGAGCCTCAACAGCCTGCCATATAAATATGAGCAGGGATTACAGAGACAAGGAAGAGGGGGTAGAACAGGAGGGGGGGGCATAAATCTAGGGAAATTACATACCCAAACTTCACTGAAGGAAAATAACACATATGAAAACTCTGCACTTTTCAACTCTTCCAGGTTCTCTTACCAGGGGGATCCCTGATTTCCCTTAAAACAACTGCAAACCTGCCTGCTATTTGTCTTTGAAAAGTTCCCCTTATTAATTGAGCCCTAATTTGTAATATTTGAGGGCCTTGACAAATGGGAGATGTCCTCTTGCAATGAAGTGTATCTGAGAGACAGATCTGGGAAGATTTCATATTTGGGGCATGAGTTGTTCAAAGCAAGAACAGATGAGGCATGTCAAGCTGGTGAGGAGGTTCAGGGCTGCTGTTGAGGTAGGTGTGGTTCATTACACACCAGGGGCTCACATGCAAGTGGCAATGGCAGTGAGCAGGTAGATTCACTGAGGGAGTGGTGCTATGGAGAGCAGCTTTCCAAAGGACCTCCCCAAACCTGGGGCCAGCATGCAGGGGCTGCTCTGATGCAGTCTGCACTCCTTTGGACTCACCCTCTTGTTTTGGTTCTTCTTCGACAGGTACTTCTGGCCACCGGGCTCTGCTTTGCTTCCTCCCTGAACACCCATTACAACGTGCAGATTGTTGGACACCTCCCGGCAGGGTAAAGCCCTTTCCCATCTCTCTCGCTCCCCATGGCGACCCCACGGTTGGCATGGCGACAGGAGTGCTGCTTCCTGCCTCGGCCTGAGCCCCTTGCTGTTGGCCTAACTTGCCGGCCAAGCCTGCCCTGGGAACCAGCACTGGGGAGGGGCAGGGGGCGACCGCTGTCCTGGCACACTGTGACTCCCGTTCCACCATTCTCTCACGCAGGTTCCCACAGCCCCAGCTCCCAGCCCTGCATCTGCTGCCCCAAGTGCTGGGCGACACGGTGGCCCTCGCATTCGTGGCCTACGCCATCTCAGTGTCCCTGGCCATGATCTACGCTGAGAAGCACCACTATGCCATTGACCCCAACCAGGTGTGTGCCCAGCCTCAGTGCCGGCTGCAGGGTTTCGAGGGCCTGGGGGCAAGACACCCTCCACGGGCCTCTCCCTCAGCAGATCTGTCTTCTCACCGCCAGTGTCACCAGCTGCTCTTGCTCCTCGTCCTCTTCCTCGTTATGGCTGCCACTTCTTTGCTTGGCAGGCGGGAAGCCAAGGAGCAAGGAGGCCGGGGCATCTCCTGCTCCTGTTCCTCACCACCAGCGTTGTCTAGGCCAGGGTGAGAGAAGCAGGGTGAAGAAGCAGGCTGCAATTCTGAAGAGCGGGAACAAGTTTAGGGGGCTGTTGTCCGTGGGCACCTGCTAGGTGTGGGCCCTCAGAGATGCCCAAGTATGTCGACCCTTGACACCGCTCCTGCCCATCTTGGAAAATGAAAATGCCAAGGTGGGGAGGTAGAACCAGGACAATTTCAACCAGGGATTCTAAAACACTCCCCTGTTGCTTGCCAAGCCTGCTTTCCATCCCATGTGCCCAGAAGGGCACGCCTGGAGTTGCCACTTCCCCAGTATCTACTTGCGGGGTGGAAATCCGGCTGCTGCATGTGGAAGCATAACCTGGCCAGCTACCCAGGACTGGCTTTTGTGTCTGACTCATGGTTCTGGCTTGTCACCAATGGGAGGAGCAAAACAAGAATCACACCCCTGTGGGACTTCCCTGCTGGATTCAGTTGGTGCCAAAGTTGCATGTTGCGCTGTATCAGGTAGCCAGTGCTAGGCATATCAGGTAGAATGCGATAGAGGTATGGGAGTAAAGTGACTCTCCCGTACTTGCTCTCTCCACATTGTGCTTTTGTGCCTGAAGAGGCAGCTTTCAATTGGCAACCAGAAGTTCAGGGCTTCGTGGCCATTTAGAACATTAAACCTGCTTCAGCTCAAAGGCCAAATTCAATTTTGGAGAAGCTCTTGGAGGCTGAATCCAGGGGTAGGTGGAGGCCAGAAGCAAAATGATGGGAGTCAAAATATCAAAAACACCATCTCAGTTTCACGAAATGCTCTTGCAGCCAGGAACTAAGCCTTAGGAAAAGCATGTCACATGGTTAGAATGCAGGGGAAGCTGTGCAAAGCCAGGAAGCCACCAAACAATTGTCAGTCACAAAAACCAGTGAAGACAGTGAAAGGAATGTGGACATCTGTAGAAACCCTGGAGGCTAGATTGGGACCCCAGGCAGACTGGATCTGGCCTCAGGGCCTGAGGTTAAGCACTCCTGCTCTAGAAGGTTAATAATTTTCAGCATGGCATGAAAACTCCATGCTTTTTCCATATTCTTTCAGCCATGCTCGAAGTACCAAAGAAAGCCAAATCGATGCTGTCTCTGCCATCAATGTCCCCAGCCAGCTTTCTGTACCCCATAACAGCCTTCCCCAGTGTGGCAACTTCTAGATCAACCTTCCCCAACCTTCAGAGGCATTTGGACTGCAGCTCCCAGAATTCCCATCCAGCAGGGCCATTGACTGGGAATTCTGGGTGTTGCCTTCCAAATGTGTCTGGAAGGCACAAACTTGAGGAAAGCTGTTCTAGATCTATTGGGCTACAACACATCAGTGGGGCTTCAGATTGGGGAAGGCTGTTCTGAGGGCACCATGTATTTCACTTTTGCTTGAACCGTCTTTGGGCAGAGAACTTCTGTGCGTCAGCCACATCACTTGTACCTTCATTTCCAGCCCCATGTTGTAGATCCAGGACGGCAAGCAAAGTTCAGCTGAATTATCTGTCAGAGCCCCCACATGCCCCTGCTTCGACCAGCCCCTCCAACAAGGGAGCCCTGCAAACTTGGACCTTATGAGGTGTTTATGGTGCTCTTTGTGAATTCCTGGTACTTGCACAAGCCACATGGAGGAAGCCCTATGACAACAAGCCACTTTAAAACTGATCTCTGCATGCAGCATCGGCTTAGCCTGAGGGCTCTCCCCCACTTTTCTTGATCGAGTTCCCCCACACGCTCCCCTTAGGGCAGGGGAATATAAAGTTCATCCAGGTCAGAACTTGCATTCACCGTACCGTCCTCTGTGCCCCCACAGGAACTGCTGGCTCATGGCCTCTCGAACCTGGTCTCCTCCCTGTTTACCTGCTTTCCCAACTCAGCCACCCTGGCTACAACCAACATTTTGGAGAGTGCTGGTGGACACACACAGGTATAAGGCTATGGACAGCCCTGCCATTGGGCAGATGCGGAGCAATGGGGAGTGGCTGGAAGGTGCTGGAAGGAAGATGGGGCTGTGTGTCCGATGGAACTGGTGCCCAGTGGGCCTCACTGCGCATGTCTTTGGCTAACTCTGCCATGACTAACTAGCCTTCCTTGCCCACAGCTTTCTGGCCTCTTCACCAGTGCTGTTGTCCTGGTGGTATTGCTCTGGATTGGACCACTCTTCTACTACTTGCCCAAGGTGAGCTAGTGGGAGGGCGACTCCAGGGGCAGTTTATGACCTCCAGCCAATTCCAAAATGAAAATAAATTATGTGGGTAAATGATGTATGTTACCTACAGGCATATTTGGTCAACTCTGATCTTTAATTCAATGCAGATTTCAGTTTTCTTGAAGAATAGTTCTTATTTACTTATTTGTGACACAAAGGCCTGGTTCTCAAGGTGAAATAAGATGCACACATGGACCCATCATGGGCAGATTTGCTTCCATACAAGCTGTTTTGTTTGACACTTGCTTTCACATTTTACAGAGAATCGAAACATCAGTACTGCCAACCCATTGCAATCATTAAAATGATACAATGTCAATGCAGTACCAGCTTGTACAGCAATGACTGGCAAAGTCCTATTAAAGTTTCTTGGGGCTCCTCTGCCTTTAGTAAGAAGTTTCCTTCTTGTGGTTTTTGCTTCTAATTTCTTCCTGCTGGTGTGGTTGTGGAGTTACTGATGAATTGCCTTTTAATTAGCCGTTGTGGTTTTCAACGGCAGGGCTTCAAGCTTTAAGTACTAGTTCCTCCCCGCCCTTTCTCACTGTGAACTAGCATTATTTCACAATTCGAGAGAGAGAGAGAGAGAGAGAGAGAGAGAGAGAGAGAGAGATTAATGAGAGGAAGTTTGTAATGTAACCTTTCGTTGTAAAGGGCTAAGGGGCAAACAGAGGCCTGCTGAATCGGAAGCTATTACAGAGGTAGTAGGCACAAGGAGAAAACTTCTAGTTAAAGCTCCAGAAGGCTGGTACAAAATGACTTATGGCTGTATAAACAGCATATGGACATGAAGTGCCTGATCCTGCCTAATCCTGGAAGCTAAGCAGGGTCAGGCTTGGTTAGAATCTGGATGGGTGACTTGAATCTTGCCCTGAGCAGGGAGTTGGACCTGATGGCCTTCTGGGCCAACTGTGTCAGTCTGTGACTCCATGGGATGGGCACTGCTAAACCATGCAGTGAATTGCTGGATGGAGCTACCAGTCTGATTCTGCCTCCAGCTGACCGCAGAAAAGCAATGTCTCAGCAGTGTTAGAGAGCGGCAGCCATCGGTGCTCATAGGGTTGCTGGTTCTCATGAGCAAACAGCACCTGCGCTTCTCCGAGCCCAACCCCATGAGGAGGGGATGTGCCTGTTGGTGGACTTAAGGTGTTCCCAACTCTGCTCCGAGGTGCTGAAAAGGGCTGTTGCTCATTGTCTTCCCTATCAGGTAATCCTTTGTGTCTAGGGCAGAGAAATGTTGGCACCCTTTCTCAACCAGTGGCTTTGAGGCACTTGTTTCTTGGGTGGAGGACCCTTGCATGTGGCTGCAAATGTAAGCCCCAGATTCTATGGTCTATTTTTTAATTTTTGTACTATTTCTATACTTAAATATATTTTTAAAAAATTCCCTGAGCTGTTTCCATATTCTTCAGCCTTGTTGGTGGACTTTATGTGAGCCATTCCACTGGTATCACACCTGGATTCTCTGTCCCCTCTAGGCTGTCCTGGCTTGTATCAACGTCACCAGCCTGAGGCAAATGTTTCTGCAGTTCCAGGACCTGCCTGACCTGTGGAGAATCAGCCACATTGACTTTGTGAGCAGTGATAGCACCTGCAAATGGGCCAAGGTCTAAGCCAGGAGCAAGAAATTTAGCACTGTATATGCTCCTACCATGCAAAACACTTTTCTCTCTCTCCATCACCCCCCCCCCCCCACACACACACACGCCTTTGCACATAAAGATGGTCTGTCTGCCAATGTAGTTCACAGTACAAAAGAGCCTTCCCTAGTCTGGTGTTTTGGATGACAACTCCCAGTATTCCTGATCAGCTGACCAGGGCTGATGGGTGTAGAGATCTAAAACAGGTTGGAGAAGGCTGGTATAAAGAATGGCCTAGAGTTCAATAGACAAGATACGAAAATGGGGCAAGGGAGGGAGGAGAAACCTAAGCAGGAGCCAGGGCTGCTGCATTCTGCCGTTTGGAGAGTGGGGAGCCAACTGGCTAATGCAGGGACCGTGCTTTGTCACCTCTCCCTCTGATGCAGCTGGGTGCGATCCATGGAACTTTAGATTCCATGTACCCCGGTGGGCTGTTACAATCATATGGACCAGGTGACTGGAAGGGAGAATGTGCACATTCTCCATCAGTGTCAGAGGTGTAGCAGGACCAGGGGAGCAAGTTGCATCTCAGAGCAAAGCCCCCAGTCACTAAGTGACTCTTCCTTGATTGGCTGTGTGCCTCCTTTCCAGGCCGTGTGGGTGGTCACCTGGCTTGCTGTGGTGGTGCTCAACGTAGATCTTGGCCTGGCCGTGGGGGTCGTGTTCTCCATGATGACTGTTATTTGCCGCACCCAGAGGTACTCTCCCCCCTGCCCCCTGTCCACCACTTCATGGTCCCCTTGCCAAATGCTGGACCAGGCCCAGCAGTTTGGCTCAGGTGCCCCTTGGTTAAGGCAGCTTGTTTTCAGCAAAGAGGAAGTGCAAAACCAAAAAAGGGGACTTAAGACAGTGATGTGCATACGATTAAGATATGCTAATTCCTTTGTATATTTTTCACATTTGGATGATTTTATAGCAATAGTAAATCTCGTTGTTGTGACCAGACAACCTGCGTACTGGTCTGCTTTGCCAGCTATCTAGGTGCTACCTGTTGCTGGCCAGCTGCTCTTACAGTTCTTTAACTTACAAACCCTCCTGGACCAGGCAGGCCTTCAAATAAAGAATTGTTCTCTGTGGAGGAGGCTACCATACCCCTTGTTGGGATTATGGGGTGCTGGCAAGTTCTTATGGGTGATTTTAATATATTTTATTTTAGATTTATTGTAATTAATTTAGGGTGCAATGCCATGACAATTAGATGCTGCCTAAACAGCAATAGGATAATTCGGAGAGCCAGCTCCGAGCTTGGAGAAATGCTCTGAGGTTGGAGGTGGGACTCCAAGTTTGGAGCACCCTCACTCCACCTTCACAGAGAATGTGATTCATTCTAGTTGGGAGACGAGCTGTGCAGCTGGCATGGAGGAGGGATAGAGAGGGGAAGAACCTGGTATTCACCCTCACCCCCAAGGAATCTTTCTGGTGCTTCCAGCTCCCCTTCTAATGCTCATGCCAGCATAGAGCATGTATTCAGCTGCCTGAATGTTTGGGGGGGTGGAATGAGAAATCCTCACCTCTGTGCTCCTTCTGCTTTCCATATGTTTGTAATACTCCTGAGTCCAGAGGGCTGCAGGCAGCCACCATTGATGGTGCCCCAATTATATGGTTAATCCCAATAGGAGCCATTCAGGCTTCTTCAGCAGTACCAGTTGTCCCTTCTGGCCGGAGCTGATGGAGGGCACCAGGTTGGAAAGGCTGGAAAAAAACAATGGCTCAGAATTCAAAAGACAGAATGCAAAAATGGACCAGGGGAGAGAGGAGAAAGCTAAGCAAGCAGGAGCCAGCTATGCCCCTGGGACCATTCCTCCTTGCTGCCATACTTGCTGGCTGCTGGGGACACCCTGCCCAGATGAAGCTATCCTTCCTGCTTGCATCCTTTGTGTTACAGAACTGAATGCTCAGTGCTCGGCAGGGCAGCTGATACGGAGATCTACAAGCCCGTCAAGTACAACAGCAAGGTAAGGGTAGTGAGGACCTGGCTTCTGGCTCAGCAGCAGAGCACCTGCTTTGCATGCAGAAGGTTCCAGGTTCAATCCTGGGCATCCCCAGTTAGATTGGGAAACCGCCTGCCTAAAACCCCAAAGAGCCACTGCTGCCAGGCAGTGTCAGCACTACTGAGCTGGATGGACCAATGCTTTGACTCGGCTTCCTAGGGTCCTGTGAGTGAGACAAATGAGCACCCAGCATATCTGAAATTGTGGCCCCAAAGCAGCCACAAAAGAGAGCGTATGTCTCAGCAGCGAAACCTGCAGTGCCCAACCCATGCTAGATAAACCCATCAAATGTTAAGAAGGCCAGCGTGGTGTAGTGGTTAAGAGTGCAGGACTGGGACTCAGGCAATCTGGGTTCTAGCTCCTGCTCAGCCATAGAGCCAACTAGGTGATTTTGGGCCAGTCACAGGCTCTCAGCCCAGCCTACCACACAGGGTTATTGTTGTGGTGTTAGGAAGAGGGCAGGAGGAGGAGAATGATGTAAGCTGCCCTGAGTTCTTTTTTTTTTTTAAAGTGGGATATACATCAGACAGACAGACAGACAGACAGACAGACAGACAGACATGAAGGGAGACAAGAGAAGCTGCTTCAAGTGTAACCTCCCCATCCGCCTGCACTGTTGTTCCCCCTTCCAGTCCCTTATCTGCTTGCCTGAGGAAAAGCCTTGCTGAACTCAAGGGAAATTCCTTGTGAGTTGCTTTGTAGAGGATTGTGCTGTGCATTAATGATGTTGGGATCTAAAATAGAAAAAGCATAACCTATAGCAAGCTCTCCCAGCCTGGCTGGTGGTTGTTGGGAGTTGTAATTCCACCCATCTGGAGAGCACTAAGTTGGGGAAGGCCAACTTTTAGTTTTGCAATGACATGGGCTCATTTTTATTAATGATTGGAAAAGATTTCTACAATTATGTTAATGTTATTTATTTACATTAGAACAGATTAGTATGCCCTCCCCCTCCAAGAAAACCTTACTGATTTCCTTAGAATTTGCTTATGCTGAACAAGGATGTGTGTATGTCATCAATATGAGTGTCATGTCTATATGAGTCTCTGTAGCAACTTACATAGTGCACCTGTCTCAGGGGCATGACATGGGCCAACCTTCCCCATTGTGGTGCCTTCCAGAAGTTGTGGACTTCAACTCCCATCAGCCCCAGAGAGCATGACCCATGAAACTGACATCCACAACACTGGGAGGGTCCTGTGCTGAGGAAGGCTGCTTTGGCTATGTCAGGCACAATGATGCATCGGTACCCTGTGTCTCTACCCGACCCCTGCTTCTCAGTGCTTTGAGATCCCAGGTGTGAAGATCTTGAGTTACCAGGCCCCCATCTATTATGGGAACCGCAGTTTCTTTCATGACGCTCTGAGCCGACAGTTGGGTCTGGACCAGGACTGGGAACAGCTCAAGGACCAAAATCCACACCGTGGGCTCAAGATGGACATCAGCACTGTGGTAATCCTATTCTCAGTGAAAGACGGAGGTGGGATGGAGATTGGGGTGGGTGAAGCACGTACAGGGTGAAGTTCTGGGGCTGCATTCGGTTAGCAGCAGGGCCAAAACTGGCATTACCTTCAATGTGTGTCCAGCAGCTGCAGCTGCTTTACATTTTTACTCTAGGAAAGGCTCAAGGCCACCAGATCTGGATCTTAAAAGCACCCCCTAACCCCATGCTAGGGTTTGTGTCTATCTTGAGGCTTGCTTTACTCTCTCTAGAGTAAAAATGAAAAAGAGGGTAGCTGTACACATACTTATTGTAATGTTTCTTTTGGTCCACAAAGTTCACACAAATGCTCACCCAAGCAATGTGACAGGGCCAGGTGTATGGTCCAGTGGCCACAGAAAGCAGCTTAGTCATAGAGCTGTGGACAGTACTCACCAGGTTTGCATGATGCAAGAAGCCACCTTGGCCTAGAAACCACTTCCCGTGTCATCTGAATGCAACACGTATTCCAGGGAATGGCTTTTAAGCTATGGCTTGCTATAGGGTTTAGTACATGCTCCATGGCTTATTGTGTCATCTGACCTATAGCTGGCTGAGCAGATACTGGACTGGCTGGAATAGGTGCCTGCTGGAATTGGGCAGCAGAGACCCAGCCTGCCCAGCATCTACCTGTATGTCCATGTTGTGCTCAATATTGGACTGTATTTTTTTAAAGTGAGCAATCACAGGCAGCCCACCAGGGACTTCTGGGAATCCTTGCAGGGCATTTCCCAGATGCCCCAAAACTGGGCATGTTCAGCCTTGAGAAGTGAAGACTGAAGGGAGATACGATAGCACTGTACAAGTACTTGAAAGGTTGTCACAAAGAGGAAGGGAAGGATCTCTTCTCCATCATCCTGGAGTGCAGGACATGGAATAACAGGTTCAAGTTGCAGGAAGCCAGAATTTGGCTAGATATCAGGAAAAACTTCCTGTCTGTGAGAGCAGTATGGCAATGGAACCAATTGGAGGGAGGTTGTGGGCTCTCCCACACTGGAGGCATTCCAGATGCGACTGGACAGCCGGGTGAGAGGGATGGTTTAACTGGTGTCCTACACTGAGCAGAGGGTTGGATTCAATGGACTTTTGGCCCCTTCCAACTCTACTATTCTGTGATTCTGATTGGGAAGAAGACCTTTAATCATGGCTTTTGCTGAAAGCTGCTTCAAGTTCTGTGTACCTTCTGTACATGAAGGTTCTTGATATAGAATGAAAATAATGAAAAGATTCACCTAGCATTCAAAGTACATACTGAACACCTGCATACAATTATGTAAAAATAGGAATTGTCAAAACATTTGCTCTTAATGATTCCCTTAAAAGCTTCCTCTAAATAAAACCCTCCCAGTCTGGTTTGCAAAAGCTTCTGAGATTCCTCCCCCAGAAGGAGGTCCCCCACTGGAAAGAGGATCAGCACACAAAGGAGCACCTCCTGTTATCTCTGGTCCGAGATACATAATGACATATAGAGACTTGATATGTGCTGTGAATTATGGGTGATCTATTCCAGCTCATGGTATTTCGGAACTGAACCAGATGTGCATATTTTTAATTTCAATTTATTGCTTTTATATACCATTCAAGAGCCATACATAGTTCCCAGAATGAAGACTGGGGATTGTTACCCTAGAGCATGGGTCCTCGAAGTATGGCCCGCAGGACAGTTCCGGCCCGCCATGGCCATCCAGCCGGCCCACGCCACCATTCGCCACCTGCGCGTGCGCTTTCTGCGTGGGCGGGGAGGTGGTGGCTCGCTCGCTTGCTCGGAGATGGTTTTGGACTCACTGGGAGATCTCCAAGCTGAGTGAGCGCACACCTGATGATGGCCGGCGCGCCCAGCCCCGCCCCCATGTGTAGCCGCCGCCTTTCTACTGGCCCCCTATTGAAATAGTTTGAGGACCCCTGCCCTAGAGGATCATCCAGGATACCCCAAACAATTCTTTCTTGAGGGTGGGAGAATAGATGGACATTAAATAAATTCATGTATAAGAAGCCTAAAGTGGAGGATTTTGCTTTGTCTTGAGTTGAAAACCTCACTTCTTTTGCATCTCTCCCAAATGGAGGTTAATCATTGAGTTTTCCTTCCCACTAGGAGAGAAGTGTCTCTGTCCTGGAGAAGAAGCTGCACTCTGGTAAGCACAGGCTAATTCCCTTCAAGCTCCCAGGAGCTTTTGCTTGGTAAGCGTGCATTTTGAACTCTGCCGTGGGAAAAGCTGCTCTTTCCTTTCCTGAATCCTGCAGAGGATACTCAGACCCAGGCAGAGGCAACAGCATCCCCTGCTTCTCAGAAGAGAAGGGACCTTACGCTTTGTCAAATATCCTAGAGTGCTGTGTTGAGTGGCACTCGGCCAGTGCATCAGGAGTAGATAGGAAGGGTCTTACCAAGCTTGTATGTGTGTCGGGAATAGCATTTCAATGATAAAAATCAGCTGGAGAAGTACAGGCTTCTGAAAAATGCTTTCATATTGTATCTTTAAGGTTTTAATCCTGTGTAAAATGGCCAAAGAGCTTTGGCTGTTGAGTGGTATACAGAGATAATAATTGGAATCAGAATCATGGTTGCTACAGATCTGCTTTGGATTAGGACTGATGTACCTTCCTTGTTTGTTTCTTCAGACATAGCGGTACAAGCAGTGATCCTTGACTGCAGTGGCGTGTCCTTTGTTGACTCAGCGGGGGCCCGACTCCTGATTCAGGTACCAAAGATGCGTGTGTTTGGGGCAGTGGCAGCAGCAGCGGCGATGATAGCAAAAACCAACCAGACCAAACCATGGTGCCGAGACTAAAGCCTGGCTGGAATCTGGGCTTTCTGTCTCGATCCCAGAAGGCACAGTGGTCAGCTATGATGGGAGGATTAATTCCTTTGGGGGTCATCTCTAATGGGGCAGCATACCACCAGTGGGAAAACCTGGAGCCAAGAGAGAGTTGGGGCACCCCTTATCTTTCTCTTTTTCTGGTACCCCCTTTTCTCCCTCTTCCCCCCCCCATCTCTCTCTTTCTGATGCCCCTTCTTGCTTGACCTCTCTCCACTCTGCCCCGTGGCAGGCAGTGGTGAATTAGCAAGTGCAAGTAAGGCACTCATTATCATTGTTTTAAGACACACCACCCAGGAAAGTCCAAAAACTGCAGGCAGCTTCATGGATCCTTGTCCAGAGGCCAATGCCGGAGCAGCGATGGCAAGGTCCATGCGTCTGAATTCTAGACCAGGCCACCTCGAAGTGCTCAATTTGCTGAATGATACCTCGCTGCTGTTAGAATCCACCTGCCCTCCCACCTGCCCCAGCCACTATGAGAAGTGCAGCCGAGCTCGGAGGGAACCGGGAAAGTTGCAGGAGGTGGGTGGGTGAAGCTAGTATCCCTGCTAAGGAAAATGGGCCAGCCCTATGCCCCTGTGAGCCTGACTCTCCTATGCTCTTGTGAGCAATCTGCTGAGGACAGGCGTAGAAGGCCAGTGCCACACCTTTGAACTGCTTGCTTGCAGAACACTTGTGCAATTAGACAAAGGGCCACTTATGGCCCTAGGGCTACGGTTTGCCCACCCTTAGCTTACTGGAAGGACACTGCAGTTATTCAGAGGTGCCCTCTCTCTAGCTATTAAACAGAAGTAGAGAAAAATGCCAAAATTTAGGCATGAGAGTGCCTGGGTCCAAATAAGGCTGTCAACAGATGCATGGTTTGGGGGTTTTTTAAAATTGCCTCTCAGCCGAATAGTAACAAATACATATGCAAACACAAACAATGAGCCTTTACTTATTTGTGCATTATTCTGGTCTTCCCCACAAAAGCTGACAGCCAAACTAGATCTGACACCAAATATATCCTTGCATTTAATGTGAAGGGTTGTTAAAACAACACAAGCAGCATCAGCAGGGAATGGACAATGAAAATTAATGGGAACAGGGGGTGGGGGGTGAATATCACCTCTCCCTGCTTCCACCTGAGGAAAAGCTGTCCACTGAAACTATTTGCACTAGAAGGAAATCTTCCCTTGGCAGCATGTCTAGTTTGGCTCTCAGAGTGCCTTCCCCAGGGCTCCATGTGGTTTCGCCTTTTGGTAGTTCATAAGGCCAGATTGGTGTAGAAGAACTGCATGATTTAGTTTCATATGCAAAGCATGGATGGCTTTTATTGGGTCTGAGATAGCTGTCTGTTGATTCACTCTTACATTTTTGTCTACCCAGTTCCCTTATCTCTCACTAACTACATTCTCCCCAACATTAAGCCATGAATCCTGGCTTATGAAACCACCATGCTCGCTCCCATGTTGCTCCATGCAAACACATAAACAAAACAGGCACGGTTAGTTTATTGTCAAGTCTGACACAGGACTATACGTCATTGCATCAAACCCATAAACATGGGTTCAACTGTAATAGTAAGCAGTCCATGGCTGTTTAATTTATGTCATCTGTAAGTGACTGCAGCTTCTGCATATTTTGGTTTTATAAGCCACAATTCCTGGTTTATCATTATGTACAGACTCAGCCAATTTGTGGGAAAAGTTTTAAGGGTGGCTACCATGCAGCATTTTAATATTTTGCATTATGAATAAGGAATATTCCTTTTTACAGGGCTGAAAGAGGCCGTCTGTCTCATTTTTTTGCCCCTTTGTATCCCATTTTTCATCTCACAAGGACCCCCTCAAAGCCCTGCAATTTTGAACCTCGGAGCAATGAGAGGAGTGGGCTGGAACAGCTGCCTTTCCAGGGTAACCCCCAGCTCCAGCCACCCCAGCTACTCTCTCTCTGCAAGGAGCTCTTTAGCCATTTCTTTTCCATGGTGAGCAGCCATTGCCATAGAGCCCTCTTTCCCTGACTGCAGGCCACTAGGGGGAGATATATGAGCATCATTGGCCTGTAGTGCTCACTCAGGCAGGGCTGAAGGACAGGACACTGAGGAATCTACAGCCAAGTCACATCGCACCTGTGTGCGCGTGTGTCTTTTCAGCCACACGTCCCCAGGATTATGTGGGGAGCAGGTCTAAGTAGGCAACATCCATGCTTCTGCCTGTAGCAGTTACTCACGTGCAACTGGGAGGTCCTTCTTGGGGAGCCCTCCCCCTGGGAGATGAGGGGATGCTGGCTACAAGAAGGGCCTTCTGGTGCCCCCCTTCTGGACTAGGTTCCACAGAGAGGTGTGCCTGGCCACTGCCACTGTTAGCATTCCAGCGCCAGCCAAAGGCTCCTCTTTTCTCTAATTATTTTAACTTTTTAATTCTATTTTAAAATTGACCCTGTGTTGGTTTTACTTGATTTTTGTTTAAATTGTTTTATTAAATGTGTATACTATAATTTGATATATTACTTTATATTTGGATTATATTGTTAATATGGTTTGAATATGCTGATTTAACATTATTGATTTTAGGATGGCGTGTTGTTTTATCTTGTGAACTGTGCAGAGAGCCCAGATATGGGCTATCATAATGGCATTTAAAGCCATTAAACAAACAAACAAACCTTCCCACACTCCTCTTTTCTACAAGGCATATTTTCTGTCCCCCTCCTGTCAAGGGTCCTGCACAGTCCTGAGAGAAAAGGAGGCTGGTCTACTACCTGTCAGAGGGTTCATGGTGGAGCCTGAGTGGGGACGTGAACTTGGATTTCCGCAATCCTAGTCCAGCAGATTAACTGCTCCCTCTCTTTGCTTCTCAGACATGTGGTCTGGGCTTCAGTCCAAATAAAGAAATCCGCGAAGAGCTTTCCCCACCCCTTTAGAAACAGCAGAAGCACTCTCAGGATAGCAGAGGAGTTGCTGCAAGGGAGAAGCCTTGTCTATGTGGGTAGGGAGTGAGCTAGTACAAAGAGCCTCCTGCCTGCGGGAGCAACTGCATCAGTCTGGCTCTACCCTCCTCGGCCAGTTTACAATATGACCCCTGGAAGACTGCAATTTACTGAACAGTGGCATCCATGATGTGGTGAAGCCCGCAATGTGTTATTGTTTAAGCAACTCTCCTGAGTGATCCAGAGCTGAGATTTTTGAGTATTGAACTGGAGCGCAAGAATGCTCAGATGGGCTCCAGAGGCACATCTCAGTGGCGGATTAGAAGATCCAAGCGTCCCGCCAGGAAGCTGCTGCAATAACCCTGCCAAGGCTGGCTGCAGCTAAAAGGGGCTGTTTGAGATTCCCAACTAGGTGCTTTCCTTGCCTTGCAGGTGTGTGTGGAATGCCAAAAAGTGGGTGTGCAGATGTATTTGGCTGCCTGTAATGGTGAGTGAAACCGGAGGATGATTGGTCCTCTTTGGGCTGAATTTGTTGGGAGCTTTAATCTAAACTTATCTTCCAAAGTTGTATCCAATGTGGTGTGGTGGTTATATGGTTCTCTGGGGTCCGAGAGATCTGGGTTCTAGTCCCCACTTGGTCCTGAAGGTACCTGGGTGACTTAAGACCAGTCACCAATTCTCAGCCTAACCTACTCCACAAGGTGGTTGTGAGGATATAACAGGAGGGCCACCATGTAAGCTGCCTTGGGTTCTTTGCAGATGAAAAACAGATGGAATATAAATGTACTGATAGATTTTCATCTTAACATTTCAATGGGTCTATTCTAAGCAGGGGTAACATTGGATACAACCTTTTGTGTTATAGAAAGAATGTTAAATGATAGTTAAATGATTTTAAAAGTGGCAGGTTTGGCCCAATTGACATCTCATCCAGAAGCAAGCCCAGGTTTGCCATTAACTGTGCTCTCACTAGGGAGCTACAGCCAGCCACAGTCCTCAACTGGTGCCCTTCTATGGGATGCACCTCTGTGGATCCATATTTTTAGGTCTATACAGCATATTTGCTTGGTCTGACCCAGGAATGACAGGGCATTGCTTGGGGATGTTGGCATCTTTCTCTCTTGTCCACCTTTTGAGCTTGCATGATTGGGAGCTGCAGTATGTGAAATGGAAGTCTGTGATGGGTCTCACATCTTTTAACATTAAAAAAAAGCCATGGATAGGTGGGATTCAGATGAGGCCCACCAAATAGTGGGTTTGCCCTTCCCTAAGGAGCTAATGGCCACTTTAGGAAGAAGGGGAAAAAGCTCCTTTCCAATACTGTGGTTCTGCTCTCAATCTTCTCTCATAAGAATATAAAAACAGTCCTGCTGGATCAGACCAAGGGCCTGTCTTGTCCAGCATTCTGTTCACCCAGTGGCAAATCAGATGCTCTCATGGGAAGTACATAGACCATAAGGGTAATAATTCCCCTGCATATGTGTTTTCTAACAGCTGATAGATAGAGGCATCCTGCCTCTGAGACTAGAGGTAATATATGGGCATCATGACTAGTAGCCAGTGATAGCCTTAACATCCACAAAGTATTGGAGAGGTACATCTTGGTGGCTGTACTTTGCTATACCTTGTGGCTACCAAGCCTGTTCTTTTAAGCATGCACTGTGTGAGGAAGTACTTCTTGCCTGGCCTCACTCTCCCATCCTGGAAACCATTCAGTTTCCTCGGATGACCCCCGTTCCTTGCATTGTGAGAGCGGGAGAAAAATGTCTTGTTAGCAACTTTCCTCACACCATGCATAGTTTTGCACACCCCATTATTTCTCTCTCACCACTCGCTCACCCTTTTTTCCTAAGTTAAAGAGCTCCAAATGTTGTAAAAATTCTTCCTTGGAGAGCTACTGCAGTCCCCTAACCATTTGGCTTGTCCCCTCCGTCTTTCTGCTGCTTTTTACAAAAAAAGAACAAGATGGGAGATATAGCAATAGCTCTCCATCACTGCCTATCATTGGCCCAAAGGTCCAGGTGACATGTGCATGCTGTTTGATTTTTTAAAAATCACCTGATGATTTGCAGCTGAGCATGTGTTCTGACTCAGTGGACAAGCCTTGAATGTGAAGAGCTAGGACCGTCTGTCTGTGATATTTTGAGTGCCTGCCAGCATGCCCTTCACACATACAAGTTACCCCTTGCTGAACACAGAATCAGACCTCAGCCACTCCGCCCTTTCTTCTTCTCTTCATGTAGCCAATGTCCTGCAGACCTTGAGTTTCTGCGGCCTTATGCATCATCTACCCCCACAGCAGATTTTTGTCACCGTTCACGATGCTGCTTCCTACCTCCAGCAGACCACGGTAAGAGGCAGCGGGTGCAGAGAAGCAGCCAGAGTCTTCATGCTTGTTGCTTCTAAACAGGCCCCTCTGTAAGGGTGGTGCTGGTGTTGGATTGAGAAGCTGCAGCCTAGTTTTCCCACACAGTGAATGCAATCCAAGGCTGCAGTTTTACTTATTTGAATTTTAGCCCACCCCATTAGCCACCAGGCTCCCTTTTAAGCCATCATAATGGAATACACCACCCCCCATGGAAAAAACATATTTCTACAGGTAGAAATCTTCTAGCCTAGACCTTCCTAATTCACTAGTTTTCTTTGTGTAGGTTTTTTTTATGGGAGAACATTATATCAGGTGAAACCCCACCAGCAGCCTTAATGCTTCAGGCCAGACATAGGCTTACCACTAGGCCTTTATTTTCTGCAGCAAATAATTCTGGCTCATTTAGATTTGGCTTAAGTAGGATTTTCACGAGCACTGGCCAAGGAGCCTCTTCTGGAGAGGATAACCAGAACACTTACTGTGATCTCTGCATGGTGCCACATGTGGGGTCTGTGTCTGTGCAGAGCTGGATTGAGTGTTCTAGAGCAGGGGTGCAGAACCACAGGCCCTGAAGCCAAACTTAGTCCACCTGAGGTTCCAATCCAGCCTCACAGTTCTTCAGGGTGGCCATTTCTCCTCCTTTTACCCACCTCTTCCTCAACCATTTCTTCATTGGTGGCTCCCTGGCTTTTGTGCATTCTAAAATATCAAAACCTGTCACCCAAGGCTTCATTACTGGCTGCAAGAGCTTTAAACTAAAATAGTATTTTTGGCCTTCCCCTCAGCCTTTGGCCTTATTCTCAGGGGCTGCACTCCAGTGGTGGAATTTGGCTCATAGTGGTGGGGTACTCACCTACCCATTCAGTTCTTTAGTAGCTAATAGCTTTACAGTGCAGTAGCTGGACCATCTATTCAGACGACTGCCTCTTGCTCCCAAAGCCTTACAATAAGAATTTTGTACAACACACTGGATATATTCCAAGCACCCCACATACCTTATCTCAGGAACTTCTTACAACCACTCTGTGAGAGAGAACAGTATTGTCATCATCAACCCCATTGTGTTGGTGTAGCCCTGAGGTGAAAGAATAGTGCATAACTGGGATCAGGAAGCTGGAGAGGAGAGTTTGATACACTGAAAAGAACCTCACAGATACCTGTTTTTGGTTTCTGCCCAGGAAAGTGTGGAACAGAAGGACCCAACCATCTGGGTATAACCCTTCCTTGCCCACCAAGGGGTAAGGATTGCGTCAACCAGGCCATGTGTACGAGGACAAGGACTGTCTGAGTTCACCAAGATGCACCAAAGGCAGCTGGCTGCCTAGGAGACCCTGCCTATGTCTGGAGAGCCGGCTTGTCAGGGATGGACCCAGAAAGGAAAGAGGCAGCAGGGCGAGAGGAACAGAGCCCTTGGATTGAGCCACTCCTCCTCATGCTACGACCTGCATGGCCAGTTGTAGTCTGAATTAGTCTGCTGCTACCCTAGCAGAGGGAGGGTTTATTTTGCACTCTCCTGTCCCAGCTTCCTTTCTTCTGAAACCTCAGAAATTATTCATGTGCAATGGGCCAAACCAAAGAAAGAAAGAAAGAAAGAAAGAAAGAAAGAAAGAAAGAAAGAAAGAAAGAAAGAAAGAATTAGAAAATCCTTTATTCCCTTCTGCAAATTGCTTCCTTTACAGAAAACCAAACAAAACATCTTCTTGAAGTAATCACAGGAAAAGTCACTGAGACCAAGAGGAAAGGGATAGACAGGGTTTCAGCCCACAGGGCTGAGGAGGGCTTGAGACTCTGTGTTCACGAAGGGCTGGGAAGTGTGAAACGAAAGGTGGCCAATTTTATTCTGTGGCTTGTCCAAGCTGGATGCAAGAGGGACCAAGGTAAGTCGAAAGAGGCTGTAGCCCTCTTCAGGAACAATGAATGAAACATGGTGAAACTCACACGAACAGAACCACACTAGCCTGCCCCCCCCCCCACTCCCTGCTCACATCCTAGTGAAGTTCCTCCCATTAAGTGTCCACACCTCCGGTGCCTGTGCCTGCAGCAACCTGGATTAGAAGCCATGTGAAAGGGCTTCCTTGGCAGGGCACTCTGTTATGATGTAATGTTGGGGGCAGAGCTCCTACTTGCATAGTGAGTTTTGCCACTTTTTGTAATACCTGAGGAGGGTTCCTGCATCCCAAGATGTCTGCAGCAGTATTAGGGCAAGAGTGCATGTCTGTCCACTGCTGTTGTACACAACACAGCTTCTGATGAAAACTGCTGTAAGGAGAGATGTATATTCCTCACTGTTTTCTTATACTGCTCTGGAGAAAAAGGACTTCCCCACCAAATCACTGAAGGCCTTGCTTTGTGGCAATCAGCCTGAAAGACTGATACACACATTGCCCTTCCCTCTCTATGGCAGTCGGGCAGTGGGCAACCCTGCGGGACCATTGTGAGAAAAACAGGTAGCTTCCCTCGGCACAGAATACAATTTATTTTGCCATCCTACACATTAACACCAGGATGGTGGACTTCAGTGTGATGTGAACTGCTACCGCTTTCAGTATTTATGTGCTAGAGCAGGCTCAGAGACTTCCAGCGATATTCCAAATCTGAACGTCAACAAGTAGCAATCTGGAAATGTTTGAGAGAGAATTGGGGGAGGAATGGAGAGGTTTCCCCGTGTCAGTTTTGTCCAGGAGTGGTGCCTCTCTCTCAGGCTATTACGCTGTATCACTTTGCCTGAACTAAAGGCTCCCCACTACCTACTGGGAAAAATACATACAGAAATAAATGAACATACCGCCTTCACACAGTAAAATTGGCATGCCAAGCTGTACCCATCTACCTTACATAATAGCTTTAGTACATGCACTATTTTTCCCTTTTGCATGGGGAGGACAGGGAAAGATGCAGTGCCCCACTGTACTGAGCTCAGTGGGCTTACTTCAGGCAAGTGCGCACAGGATCACAGCCTTAGTCATGGCCACTTTTGCTGGATTGCAACCAATATCTTATTTCAGGTGCCCAATTTCCAAGCCATTCTCCATTTTTAAGATGCTGAGCTAGTGATTCAGTAAATAGAACTAATCTTCCTGAAATAAGAAACCATCTTAGGAAAGCAAGAGCATCAGTCTATAATGGCAGAAGGAAAAGCTAAGGATCTGGGTGTAGCAGAACACAATTCTTCATCAGCTGGGTCCCTATTCACCTGTAGGTGGGGATGGAAAACCACAAAGTTGCTCTCAAGAAGGCAACACATATTCCCCTTTCTGTTGACCTGCCCAGGGATGAGCACATATTCCATTTTTAGGGGTGTGCTAGCACACAACAAATACACTTGCGTCTCTCTTAGGTCAGTGGTATCAGTACTGTCCTAGCCATGCAGGGCTTTCAACCCACCACATCCATCCCGTCCTTGAGTCACTTTCAGTGCTATGATTGTTTCTGCGTCCAGAGTCCTGATAGGTTGGCCCTGTGGTTACCAACATCCCAAAACTCCCACCTCCCACACTGGTTGCTGGACTGGGAGGGAGTTTCTTGCTGGGCTCCTGGGAGAGAGAGGGAGGGAGACGGGATGGGAGGAGCAGGATATAGGTGGCCTGACTGGCTGCAGCCTCTGCTGCTGCTTACCCCATGGACTGACCCCATGCATTGTAACAAAACATGTAGGAAAAACCAAACCCAACAATACAAACAATGATTCCCTTTAACAAAAAGCAGTAAATGCAAACGGTTGCATGACTGAGATCTGGAAAAAGTGTTTTGTGACACAGGAAAAGCCCTGGCAAAACAGTGTTTAAAATAAAATAGTTTTAAAAATGCAGCCTGGCATAGACAGGCTTTCCATTCCTGCATCTAAATAATTTGCCACTTTACACGAGAAGCTGATGATGGTCATACACGCCACTTCTGCTGCAGAAGGGAGGCCAAAGCTGGAACTGCCTTGTATTTGGAGGGAGTCCTGTCTTGCTTGCCTCTTGCGTTGCTGCAGTGCACGCCTTAAGGCTTCCCCCTTGTGGCAGCTTTCCATCACTGTAGTATTTGGCACTACCGGGATGGCACCAGCTGGTGTGTGTGTGCGTGTGGTCGGGGAGACACTGGGGATGGTTCTGGGGGCACACATGCAAAGACATGGCACAAAATATTGTGGCACTAGAGAAAGCTGCAAAGTTTAGGCGTTGTCTCCCTTGCATCATGTTCCTTCATTTGGATTAAACAGATGCTGAGAACAGTAAGATACGATTGGCAGCTTGTTGATAAATGCGTGTGCATGTGGACGTGTACGGCAGGGGGAGGTGGAAACTGCAGGGAGCCCAGAATTGGCTGAGGAAGCAGGTTGCTTCCAACTGGGAAAAGAAAAACCAGACCTCTACTTCTAGGGCTTCAGAGCACAGCTCACCACTATCGCTCTCCATCCGGTTTGGATGCAAAGGGGGCAAAACAAATGCAAGGGCAGGTCTCACCTTTGCTGGCACAGAACAAGCAGTGGCACAGTCTCTCCAGCATCCCAGAAAAGAAAAGCGGACTGGTTAACTCATTTCTTAAATCGCTCTTCAGGCCTGAGCATGCCAAGGCCTCCCTGAGTTCTGGGGGTTTGGCTAATTGACAGGCAAGACCATTTGCCCAAGGCTGTGGCTAGCGGCCCAAGCAGGTTGCCTGAGACTGCTGGGTCTAACTGCCCAAGTACTTAGCTAGCTGCTGGAGCAGGGCTAAGCACCCTCACACTGAAGCCTAGTTGACAGCCATACATTTGAGATGGTTCTTGAAGTAGTAGAGGCTTTGCTTGAGGATGAGGCTGTTGTCGGTAGAGTTGGGATAGCGGAATTTGGCATACTGCTTTTCGCTCTCAGTCTTTCGCCACGGCAGCCTGATCTTGGAGGCATGGTCCACTATCACATTGGAGCAAGAACCCACATGCAGAAGTCCCAGCCCATCAATGAAGAATTCTAGGTTTAAAAGAAAGAAAACTTTGTATGTTTTGGATTTTACTTGTGTATCATTGTACATCAACCTGAGAAAACAGGTACTAAAAACATGAATAAAAACGAGGCAAGAGTCCCACACCTTCATTCAGACATGCTTGGTATTCACTGTTGTGTCTCAAGCAACTTCTGTGACTAAATCACCACAAGGGATCTTGAACAGACCACTCATCATTCTTACAACTACATTTCCCATCTTCTCCAGCTATGTCTCTGAGGGTTGCCTGCTGGTAAGGAAGGGGAGTCACAAGTGGAAGTTCTCTCTCCCCCACCCCACCCCTCTTGCACACACACAGAAGGACCCAGTTTGCACAACACAACAGCCCACTGTGGCTTAATTTAGTTGTGGAGGCTATTGTGTCATGCTAGGTATCTGCAGGTACTCCTCCTTACCATATCGTGAGAACTAGCATTGTGTGTGGTTTGAGGGGGTAGACAACCTTCAAATAACTACAAAATCCATTGTGGTGTGGTAGTTAGAGTGTTGGACTGGGGACCTGGGAGTTCCTGGTTCTTGTCCCCTCTTGGCCATGACACTCACTGGTGACTTTGGGCCAGTCATTCACTCTCAGCCCAACCTACCTCACAGGATTGTTGATGTTGTGAGAAAAAACATGAAATATAAATCCAATGTAATAAGAACAATGAGAAAAATAAGCAATGGGTTATCTGAAGGGTGGCTGTCTCCTCAAAAAACCCACAGTACTGGGCTTGCATAAGAGGACAAGCCTGCCACTGCTTGCATACTCAGAATGGCAGCAGGCACCTGCCTCTAAGCCCTGCAGGAAATTAGCCCATGGGAACTCAGGGTTACATGCGAGCAGCCCCACAGCAAAAGGCCTACAGCCTGGGAGCACATCTGTGAGGACCAGTGAAACATTAGCATAGAGTTGGGGTGCAGAAGAAAAAGATCCCTTCTGGCAATTTGAACCAAACTGAATTATGGGACTATTCTGGAAAAAAGGATGGAAACTGGAAGGTCCAATGTGGCATTAAAGCTGTGGAGGTCTGCTGTTGAAAAGGCAAACTGTTAGCTTTTGGATACACTTCTTTTTTGAGTGTGTTACTCTCTGTAGCTGAAAACCTTCCTGATTTACATGCCCCAAAAATCACCAAATGTTTACATCTATGTATATTTATACCTACGAATTCCACTGCGATTGCTGGAATTCCACCAGGGTTAGTACAAAGCTTACTAACTCTGAGGTGCATTCAGGCCTGATTATGCAGACATATTAGTGATTTATAAATTCAGTACAATACATTTCATAGGATTATTTTTGGCTACCTTCTACAGAAGGTGTAAATGCCACCCCTACAGTTAAGCAAAAATTGGGCCTGGAGGGTTCCACATACAGGCTGAGTGCCACTCACCAAGGTGGGCGACCCGGTTGAGACGAGGGTCAAAGCCAACCTGCAGCACCTTCTCTGTACGTGCCAAGAAGAAATTGATCACACCATCGGTCACCACACAGTCTGGGAAGCCCTCGATGATGTGGTGGTAGCCCTGGTGAATGCGCAGGCAGTCTCCGTCTTCACCCCCAGGCTGCACGCTGATCCGCTGCCGGTACGTGTTGGTGTAGCCAGTGATTTCCCGCACTGCTCCACCCACCTGCCAGGGACAAGAGAGGATGCAGGGAATGGAGCAGAGTGAGCTTGGGATGCTCCCATCCATCAGTCCAGGGGAGATGAAAACAGGTCTCTTGCTCTTCATTCCATAACATCATACTGAAGCAGATGAAACCTGGATCAGAACTGAAGGATGTGATCCCTGCTGGATCCTGGAGGGAGCTTTGGGCCAGACATGCTGTTGCAAGCTGCTACTTTGCAGCAAGGGCATAGGCCTTGCTTTACTCTGCTGGGAGCAGACCAAAGGACCCTCCAGTCCAGCATTCTTTCTCCTAGCTGCAGTTAGTCAAATGCCCTGCTGTTTTCCAGAGACATGAAAAATGATGAGCATTCCTCTTGCTTGTTTTTAGCATCTCACAACACAAATCTTCTAAGGGAGGCAGAATTCTTCAGATTGCCATCCCATTCTAGTTGGTCTTAATAATCACCTTATTGTGGAGGATTTGCTGTCACTACCCTGCCTAGATTTTGGATTTTTTAAACTCAAGGGTCTATGCATGAGTATAAACACACTCAATTTTGGATTTTGTTTTTTACTCATGAGCTTCCATAAGCAGGCATGAATCTTCATTTCTGAACTGCATGGAAACTAGAAACTGCAGTGATGGATCTAAGAACCAACTCATGTTAGCTTCCATTATCCACACCTCTCCTGACTTGCCTCCAAGTTTGGTCTGTGTAGACCATTTATTCTAGCCTGAGGGGTATCCAGAGTGTCTTCAGCTGCCAAGGTTGTCATCTTCACATTGTGAAGGCCCATTACAGAAATCTCTCCCAACCTCCTGATGAGGGATATTAAAGCAAGGCCCTCTCAAAAGGTTTGTTTAGAGAAATGTATGCCTATTTCTTCAGATGGGGTAATATTCCAGAGACATGAGATAAAAGCAACAGCAGGCAAAGGACTCACCAGGTCTAGGCTAGTCTTCTCAAGGACTTCTACCAGCTTTTCCACTTTGGTACGGGGTGTGAAGATGAAATCATCATCCACCCACAGGACATATTTGGTGGTCACCTGGGAGATTGCAAGGTTCCTGCCAGCAAACCAGCCCTAGAAAAGCGAGGAGCAGGCCTCTGAATACCATTCATGGTCATCACCCGTGTCAGTCCCCTTGCCACGAAACCAGGCATTGCCACTTGCCCACCTTACTGGACCACTTTAACATCAGCTCAGTCGCTGTGTACCTCTTTACTGCACCCCCTGGATCCAGTTATTGCCCCCCGTCCCACCCATGAAAACTCTGCTTGCTGATCAGCAGCTCTGTTTCGTCTCTGTGCTTGCAATTAGGGTGCCAAGTAGTTTCCTCTGGGTCCCCAGACTTGGCTCATGGGCTCCCAGGAGGGGCCTTGATAGTCCAGCCTTCTTCCAGGACTGCTCCAGCCCAGCCATTTGTCCCATGAATACAAGACAGCACCTTTCAACTCTACGCTAGATCCATCTGTGCTGACTAAGCTGTAACGCTTCTCTGTTCGCAACCACTACAGTGGACTAGAATCATGCACAAGAATGCATTGAAAAGAGAGGGAAATCCTGACTAAGAATATTGTCTGAGGTAAAGTACAAGGAGGAGTCACCAGAGGGACATGAAAGGATTCCTACTCATCCCTTCTCATGAATTTTGGTTCAGAGAAACAAGCTATCCCCACGCACAAGGAAGCAACGGTGTTGCCCCAGCTTAACAGGTGTCTGTGAGGTCCTTTCCTTGGCCCATTTCAGGGCCTTGGTCCCCAAGAACATGTTCCCCTCAGGCCTTCAGAGGACGCATCCCATGGAGCCCTGTGCAGCACTCAGGAAACCATCAGGCATTCCAACGGCGAATCTCCGCACCTTGCCGAAGGGCATGAAGTACTGCTCAATGTGGGGTCCCTGCACCTGTTCCGTGGCTTGGCTGTCATCAGCGATGATGATGGTCACGGTGGGGTAGAACTTGCGGATGCTGTCAATCAGCACACGCAGCTTGTCGTAGCGCAGGAAGGTCTTGGTCGCTATGGTGACCATGGCACTGATGTTGTAGTCTGCTGGGGAAAACAAACAGGCAATGTTGACCGGGAAGTCGATCCTACCTAAGGAGGTCATGGGAGGCTCTCAAGATGCAGCTGGACAGCCATCAGGGAGAGATGCTTTAACTTGGAGTCCTGCACTGACCCAATGGCCTTCTTGGCCCCTTCCAACACTACTTCTCTGAGTTCCTACAACAAGGCCTCTGAAAGCTAGGACAAGGCAAAGGTGGCCAAAAACGGGTGCTCTCCATGGGGCTAAAAATCAGCACTTAAAGAGCAATATTTACAGCACCTATTTGCATATGTAATTTATAGGATGTTTATTTGGCACTTCAACCATATTTTCAGGGTGATTATCATGGAAGAAGGGCTTTGCTTGCTGCCAAAACAATACAGGCAAAGGCACTAGGGAAGCCACCCTGGCCCTGGGGCAAATGTTATGTATTTATTTGATTTTCATCCTATACTCCTTCAGGGCCTGGGTCTGCTGGAGTGTCACCTGCAGGGCATCATCACAGCTCACCAAGGTGCAGTGTTCAAATTGGCCACTAGAGAGTACAAGTTAGCTTGAAATGGCACCCTGTTAAGCACCATTAAGGATGCATAAGGAATCTGACAGAGGGGTGAAAATCTGACTGTGAGTGACCAGCCCCGGGGTTCTGATTCATGAGTCCTGTGCTGGTGCTGACTTGCAAGTCAAGTCAGCTTGCAGACTTCTATCTCTAGGACAGGCTGTGATTTGCACATTTATAACCATTAATGAATCCAAGTAACTAAGTACTTACAAACTATGCGGCTTTACAGCAGTTTGGACCAAACTGGGCCATTTGTGCAACTTACTGATGTTAAGAAGTTGCTCATAACACATTTCAAGTGGTGCTGTAAATTAAAAAGTGCATCTGTACCAGGCGTGATCTGAGCCTGCTCTGGGCTCTTCCCTGGCGCCTGCTTGGAAAGCCAGAGCTCTACTTTGGAACAAGTAGAGTATAAGGACATGAACAATTTTAAGAATTGCAGTGAAGTAGACAGCTCCTTAAGCTGTGGGGTGGGGGAATAGATACCCTAGACAGGGGAAATCTTTTTTCCGGTCTTCCAAGGCTGAGCCTGGAAACCTCAGGCACCTTCTGAAGCTGATTTGTCTTTAAAATGCTTTCCCCCATAAGCAATCCATCCACTAACGATCCACAGTCATCAACTTTTGACTCACCTCCATTGGTCCCTCCACTGGAGGATCCCGGGTTGTAGAGCCTGGGGGTGGGTGCATGGCGGATGCGAATGAGGAAAGATGCCTGATGCTCATCGGTAGAAAACTGCACTGGAAAACAGAGGAAGAGGCAGAAAACCAGTCTGGGGCAGCATTTGTTTCCTTCATCAGGTCATCAGCTTCACGGGAATTGACATTTTCTCTACCTTTCATAAATAACTGGTGGCCAGAAAGTTATTCCTCATACAGAGGATTACATTTAACAGAGCAGGTGTACTGTCATGGCTCTGAGTTGGGCTGGGAAGCCACCTCCAAAATCTTACCTGAGCCATGAATGTACTAGTTGGCTTATGCAGACCACCATCCTCAGCACCTACCCTTCATCTGCAATATGGAGATGGATAGTACTATGCTACCTTACAAGCAGATGGACATTTTACAGAAAAGAAGCACATGATGTGCTTTGAAGACTTGACAGGTGCTGCAATAAATCCCAAGTATTACTACATTCAGGCAGGGCTGAGCAGCTTGTGGCCTTCTAGATGTTGTTGGGCTGCAGGTTGATCAGCCATGCAGACCCATTACGAGGGTCTGAGCTGGAGGGGACAGATCAGGAAAGGGTACTTGGGGCTATGCTTGTCAATTCCATAGAAATGTTGATCCGGTGCATGGCTGTTGTGAGAAAGGCAAATCCTGTGTCAGCAGTTATTTGGAGAGGATTTGAGAATAAAACAGCCACTGTTGGAGTGCCTACATTCAAATATGAACTAGTCATAATGGCTTGAGGATCAGAGGGAGGTTGTCTCTACATACCAGCTGCTGGGGAAGACAAGTGGGAGGTGATATTATGTTTAGGTCCTGGTTGCAGGCTTCATCTCCTGGCATCTGGATGGTCACTGTGCAAACAGAATGCTACCCCAGGAAGCCTTTGGTTGGCTCCAGCAGGGTCTTCTTACATTCTTCATGCAACAGTCCTATACAGAGGACTGTGCTGGAAGTGACCTTGGGTGAGAATATCCCCTCTGCCCCTCTTTTCTGCCATGAAAGCCAGTGTGGTGCAGTGGTTAAGAGTGTGGGACTGGGACTTGGGTGATCTGGGTTCTAGTCCTCACTCAGGCATGGAGCTTACCGAGTGACTTTGGGCCAGTCAGGCTCTCAGCCCATCCTACCTCACAAGGTTCTTGTGGGAATAAGACTGAGGGCAGGAGGAGGGGAATTAAGTAAGCCGAGTTTTTTCTATGAAAAACAGAATATACGGAATATAGATGGAATTTATATTCTATGGAATATAAATCTAATAAACAAACAAATATTAGCTTAATCAGAGTATGGCCCAGTCAAATGATAGGCCCTCTTTAGCAAAATACTCCATCCCTTTTTTCTTGATTTTGGAGTGGGCAGGTGGGAATGCAAGCAGGGAGCAAAAAGGACTGCCCAGGGGCAATTGCCACTTTTAAGAAAGGCCATCTGCAGCAGGCACCCTTCCCACCCCTCTGTATTTTGCAGAGAGGAGGCAACACCATAGGACAGATAGTCTTCTTGGATGCAGCTTCAGCTTCTTCAGAGGAGGAAATCACAGCATGGAGGCTCAGCATGACCATCCCCACGCTCTTGGCAGAGCATCTGGCAATACTGCAATAGGAATGCACTGGACTGTAGCTCTCTTTAAAGTGAACGAAGACACTCTACAAGGGGAGAGTCCTCTCTTGGTGAGTGCTTCACCGAATCAGTGAGGTCAGATTGTGCTTTGGGATTTTTTTTTAAAGCAAGTCATGCTCTTTTAGGGAAATGACCTCTACACACACACACACAAAACACGCACACACACAACACCCCCTCCCTTTGCCGTAAATGACACACCCCATAAAAATTCATCAGACCCTTAAATATGTCAGTTTCAAACTAATACAATTCATATTTCTCTGCTCTTTGTGAGACTGTCATTTAAGTAAACCCCCATGTTTGCCAACCAGATCTGCCCAAAGCAATGTGCTTCAGGCATGACGGGCTACAGCTCCTATCATCCCCAGCAAGCAGGTTGTGGTGTTGGGAGGGGTAGTCCAATGCCTCTATAAGGCACCCAGTTGCACAAGGCTGTTCCAAAGAGTCCACTTACTCTTCTAGGCATCTTGTCTGGAACACCCCTCACCCCTGCCTTTGTCTTTTGCACAGGTCATTTCTGTGAAGCTGGAATCCTAAGCGGTTCTGACCCTTTAAAAAGGGATCCCTGCCCATATAAATAGATATCCTTGCCAATCCATACCCACAGCCAAGATTCCAGCTAAGAGGAGCTTGGCTAGTTCCCAAAGGTCTAGGAGGGCCCTCTAACAAGGTTCTGTAAACATTGTGTCAGTTTTGGCCAATCCTGCGAACATTTTTATGAAGAACATGTTTATGAACATGGCTATGAGAGACGGTGTAGACATGTCATTTCCATCAGGCTACCTCAGAAGCAAGTCCCAGTGATTAAATGGGACTTCCTACAGAAAATAGGCCATATTTCTTAGAACAGGCGCTTGTGAGCACTGCCGTCAGCACCACGTCGCTGACTCTGGGCCTGTTTTTCCTGATCTTCAGTGTTTACCCTGCAAGGGCCTCCACGTTTTCTGTCAACATTGTACTGCATGTCCTCAGTTCCAGTGGCACGTCAGCAGCAAACAAACCAACGAACCCATGAGCCCCTGAAAAAGCAGCCAGCACAGATCCCAGCTGGCAAATGGCTCACTCGCACAGGAAGACCTTAAGGTACTCTTGGCAGTGGTCCATGGCAGTCTTCCCCATGCGGGAGAGACCTGTCACAGCCTGGTCCTTTTCTTGGCACAGAAGATGCCATCTTAGAACTGCAGAAGGTCAGAGGAGAGGAACTGAGAAAACAAAATGAACACCCAGGCAAAATCACAGCCACATCCTATAGAAGTGGTCGGAAGGCAGCTGCAGATGTCTAGTGTGCAGGAGACAGCCACAGTGCAGGGTGCCCTAGTGGAAGCTAAATGTGTTTGTGCGTGCATGCATGCACAGCTTATGCATTCATGTGACCTATATATTGTCCACACTTCTGTAACTAGCCAGAGTTCCCACCTCAAAGTAGGTGCTGCCCCTGCTGCAGCATTCCCTTCTTCTAAGTGCAGTTGTGTTGTACCTGAGATTGTCTCCAAGTAATTGAAAACCACAGTGGTTTGGGAGCTTGTCTGGGATTCTGAAGGCAGGCAGTGCATTTGGCAGGCACAGTCAAAAAGGGAACAGTTTTGTTCTGGGAGGTCGACTGACCTACATGAATGGTGAATGGCTGTGTATACGTCACTGACCAGACCAAGACTAGGCCTTAAGGCAAGCTGAAATGCCCCGAGCCTGCAACAAGGCTATGATCAGACTTAAACTTTCAAAGGACTTAGGAGCAACATATTTCGCCATTAATATGAGGAAAGTGAAATTACAAGCAGGAGAAAAATCAACCTTGTCTTTTGAATTTCTTATGAGTCCAAGCATCCCTGCAAATTCACCATTTGTAAGTCACCCTGAGAAGCTTCGGGTTATGGGGTGACACAGAAGTAGAATGAGATAATAAATAAATACATTTGTTAGGATTGGATTTAGTTGTAAGTTGACATGTACCATAATTAGTCACAAAAGCTCAAGAGGCAATTAGATATTGTCCAGAAGTGGCAGCCAACACACTAGTTCCCTCAGTAAAGAAAAAAAAACCCCAAGGAATGTGGACGAAAACAATGGAAATCTTGTGAAGTAATTGGTCTAAATAGAAGAATTGAGAGAACAAAGTTCCCAGCCAAAATCACAACCATATCCTATGGAAGTGGTCTGAAGGCAGTCTGAGATGTCTAGTCTGCTGAAAACCACCATACTGCAAGGTGACCTAGTGAAGCTTAATGGGTGTGTGCAAACACGCAAAGCTTATGCATCCACATAGCCTATATATTGCCAAACTTTCTGTAATCAGGTGGAATTCTCACTTCAAAGGAGGTGATCTCTCCACTGTAGTGTTCCCTTTTCCTACAGAAAGTATAGTTGTATTTGAGAGTGTCTCCCAGTCATTGAAGGCCATGACAGACCATGCCTCCCAACATCCTCATCCAGCATGATGGGAGTAGTTGTCCAACACATCTGGAGGGAACCAATTTTCAGAAGTACGTATAATTGTTTCAGTTCAGGGCACCACTTGTGCCATAACCCTCTGAGGCTGGCTATTATTACTCCCATAAATGCAAAGTAGGCCAATTATTGCATTTCAGGGTATGCCAAAACCCTTGTTCTTATTTTCCAAGTGCTCAGTCTTTTGCATTTGCTCCATGCAAGCAGGTGCAAAAGATAACAATGTTTGCACACGTTCCACGCTAGCACATGCATGCAAATGATAGAGATGGTTTGTGCATGCTCCATGCTAGCAGGTAAACAATGCTACTGGGCACTTGAGGCATCTGTCACCAAGTCCCCCCACTGGTTTTTCCAAGGGCCCACAAATTACCAGGAGTGTGAAGGAGGGAGGTGGTGGTGGACGGCCTTCCTCCCAGTGGAAATCACTTTTTTGCTGGGATTTGTGGCCTCAGGTTCACTGCAGTGGAAATGGAGGTTCTGCTGGAGAGGTGGAGTGCCTCTGCCATCCCTGCACCAGGCTATGAGTGTGGTCCTAGTCACTTGTGGGGAGCCAGATTTTTTGCAGTATTTCTAATTGCTATCTCCACACAGCAGAGAGCAAGACTGAGGTTGGCAGGTCCTGGCCTGCTTACAGTTTGAACCAGGGTCTAGATAGCTCACAGTTCACACTTCTAGCCCCCACATTCTCAGTTCCACACTATTATTATGCTCCTCTACTGGACCACAAATTTGTTGGGGGGCCCTGCAAAGAGGGACAGCTGCACCCCTCTGAAGAACAGTCCTGCCTCAAAGCCTTCGCTTGCCTTTCCACAATGGTTCCCATTTTGCTCCTCTCTCATTTCTCCTGCCTCACTGCAAATTCTCTTGGTTCACTGTGCAAATTCTCTTGGCAATTTCTCTGCCCTGCCCTCTTGTTCCATGTCCTGGAATCCAAAATGCTGTGAGGCTGCAATGCCTGCCCTCATACGTACCTGTATCAGCGGTGTTGGGATGGAAGATCGTGTTGGTGTAGGTGACAAACTGCATTTGCCGGTTGAGATTGTCCAGCTGGGATCCCAGCATGGTGAGGCGCATGGTCCCCTCCCCTTCCACCTTGACCCCTTCCACTTCTGCAGCCACATCAAAGATGCCCATTGTTGCTGTCAGGCTGACCTGCCACGGGAGCAAAAGGATGGCAAAGTCAGGAGCTGAGGCAGCCAGCATGTGATTTTAGGATCCAGCTGGCCAACTGGCTTCCTGGGAACAGAACAGAACCTTTTCTAGGCTAGTCAATGGATCAGGTACAGCAAAGATCAGAGTGGGTAGAAAGGAGGGAATCAAACCCAACTGAAAACACGCACATGTGAATGCATCGTGCACTATGCAGTACCAAGCATCAGTAAGGTCAAAGGCCTGCTCTAATGGAATATGCTGAAGCAGAATCACGAGGAGGCCATAGCAATCTCTTGTGGCAGGGAGTTCTGCCACCTTGTGCAGTATTGTACAAAGCTGCCCCCTTTCATGAATTCCTGCCCACCACGCCTCAGTTGGTGGCTGTTTGCCCAGGAGCGGCCTTCATAGCTTTGCTGGGTGAACATCCAGGGACACATGGGAGGAGCCAGCACTGGAAGCATCTTGGTCCTAGGCCATTTATGTTTCTTAAACTAACAGTCAAACACCTTTATTTATTTATTCTGCTCTTGTGAGCTGCCCAGAGAGCCCTTGGGCTATGGGGTGGCATACAATTCTGATAGATAAATAAATAAATGCAGTGGCGCCTCGTACTTTGAACTTAATTTGTTTCAGGAGACCATTTGAACTCTGAATTGTTCAAAGTCTGAATCAATTTTTCCCATTAGAAATAATGGAAAGTGAATTAATCCATTCCCAGACCCTAAACAATGTCCATTTTGATAAACAGCAAATATGGCCTCCTGAAATGAATTAAGTTCTAAGTACAAGGCACCACTGTATTAGAATTCATGTTAGTAATGTTATCTTAGTGCATTTGCTGTACCTTAGTGGTTATATATATAAAACCAAAAAATAAAGTAAAAAAAGCACTGAAAACACACACACTGAAAATGCATGAACATAATACAAGAGATATTTCACAGCAAAACAGGTGATGTTTTTGATGACTGCATTTTTTTCACTTTGCATAGAAGCATTGTTCGAATTTTGGAGCAATTTTATCTCAACTTTAATGTTTGAATTCTGGACTGTTTGATGTTAGAGTCGTTCAAAGTATAAGGCACCGCTGTAAATTTTATATAACATTATCTCACAGCCCTTGTCCTTACAAAGTGGCTTGCTACAATGCATAAATGTGCTAAAATCAAGGCTAATTAAAACCACAGAACATTCAATTATAAAACATCAGTCGGCTAAAAAAATACCCCAGTAACATTCTTAAAACCCCCACGATTGCTCAATACTTTAAGTGTGGATCATGGATCATTAATTTAAAAATGGTCATGGGAAAGCAATGCGGAATAAACATGTTCTTGAAACCATCTTAAAAAGTGGCAGTGCTGAAGCTGTGTGTACCAAGTGAGGAGGGAATCCCACAACTTCAGTTATGTATTTCCAGTAAAATAGCACTTGGGTTGTCTGTCTAGGGCCAACTATTCAAGAGGCCTGGACTCTAAGGCTTGCCCACTGAACTGAACTTCCTGCAATCAGAGTCTTTCGGGCAGGCCTTACACATTGAACTGAAACCAACTGAAAACCAGTGAAGCTGGTCCAAGGGAAAAGTCACATATTCTTCAAAACCAAAACAGCTCATATCCAGTTCACATCCACAATTTGGAAAAATATATTGAGGCGTGTAAATGAACCGTTCCTCCCACCGCTTCACACACAAGGCGGCTTCAGGAGGTTTCCTAAGGAGAACGCACAGGTCCTTTGCCCCAGAGACAAAGCCACTAGGTATGCTGAATCAGAGGAACTGAGCAGTGCATGTTCCTCTGGCCTGCACTATTTCAGCCTGTAGGTACAAGATGGCATCTTGGAATGTCTTGTTCTTCCCATTCCACACCCCCCTCAACACACAAACCCCAAGGCCACCATCTAGAAAGGCAGTGTGTGAGGGACAAGGCTAGGCTGGACCTCTCTCTCTGACACACACCCTTTTCTTCTATAGGCAGGTAGAGCCGCCTATGGTTTGCACATCCCTCAAATGTCCCTCTTGACCCTTGCCATGTAAAATACAATATGTGGAATGACTAACCAGTTTGCTGCCTTCTCTTGGCACCCCAAAACCAGGTACTAGAAATAGCCAGTCTAAAGTAGCCTTCACACCCTGCTTCACAGTCGACCTGGCCCTGTGTGGGGAGTTTATGGCCTACCCCAATCCCACCAGAGTGGCTTTCAGTTTCACAAGGACATGGGGCTGCTAGCAACGACTAAAGGCAACTAAAAAATGTTTTCATCCACACAGGCCTTCAATGAACTCAAGGCACAAGTGGGCTCAGTGGCACAGAGCACCTTTGATCAGCTTAGGCTGATACACCAACTACAACCCTATCTGGACAGACAGAGTCTAGTGACAGTGATCCATGCTCTGGTGACTTTTCGTCTGGACCACTGCAATGCGCTCTGCATGGGGCTGCCTTGAAAACAGCTCATAGATTTTAACTGATTCACAACAAGGCAACCAGGTTGTTAAATAGGAATATCACACCATGAGAGGACTTTCAAATGCATTGGCTGCCAGCTGAAGTCTGGGCCAGATTTAAAGTGCAGACATCAACACTGAAAGACCTAAATGGCTTGGGACTAGGTTATCTGAAGGAACACCTCATTCTGTGTGTACCTACCCAGGTCCTTAGGTCATCGTCTGGGGTCCTTCACAGGGAGCCCTGCTTAAAAAAGTAAAGAGGAAGGCTACCAGAAGGGTCTTTTCGGTTGTGGTATCCCGACTATGGAACCAGCTCCCCAAAGAGGTATGCCAGAAACCTCCTATTCTTTTCAGCACCAGGTAAAAGCATTCCTATTTTCCCAGTATTTTAATGGCTGAAATGTTTTATTCTGAGGTGGGCATGTTGTAAATGGAGCTGGCTGGTGCCGGAGGTCAGACTAGATGGCCCAGGAGACCCCTTCTGACTCGCTCTGTTTCTACGTTTCTATGTTAATAATGCCTTTGGATGTGCCTCTGTATTGCCTCTGATTGCAGTTGCTGTGCATTGTGGTTATTTTTATTGTGGGTCTATTGCTATTGTTTTATTGGGTTTATTATCTTACTTTTTATTGTTATATGTTGCTCTTGGTTTTCTTGTTTATATGTTCCAAATGTTAATTGTTGTTAACTACCCAGAGAACCTTGGGCTGTTGGGTGGTATACAAAAAAATAAGTGATCACATAAATAATGAAGTATAAGACAATGGTCTATTTTATTGTCCCCCTGTGGTCATATTTTTAAATAATTTACAATGTTTTTATACTGTATCACAGATACATGTCAGTATGAACCACTTAGAGATTCCATTATATTATGCTGTATACAAGGAATAGAAAATATATAAATAAGGCTGGAAAGATTCTGCAAATCAAGACCTTTGCCCCACCCTCAAATCTCCTTGCCCCAGGCTTCTTACCTGGTAAGATGTCCTTTCAGCAGCCTGTAAACTCAAGCCTGAGAAATAAAAAGGTACAACACAGTTAGTGTGTTTCCTCAGCCCGGGAGCCATTGTGAGGGGTTTCATCCTCCTATTGGCATCCTAATGGCATCCTATTCCCCCAGTCCTGCCTTCCCCTCACTCCCTATTTGAAAACTTGGGGTGTGTGAGGAGAACTCACCTGGGATGAGAATGGTCCGCAGGGGCTGAACTTCCACTCCCTGGACCGGATACTGCAGGGGTGAGTTGGCTTGGACTATGAGGAGCTGGTCAGCTGGTGTCTGAGATCTGGAGGTAAAGGAAGAAGGATTGGAGAGGACATCTGGCTTTGCCAAGATGCTCCTGCACTTTGAAGAATTACATTGCAAGGAACATACGACAAACACAAAGGCTCTCAACACAGCCAAAGCTGTGCTCTTGGCAACCATTGCTCTGCTGTGGCCATTGACAGCCCAAGAACAAACCCACACATCAGCTGCTTGGGTGCCTTCACATGCCACCTTGCCCTGACTCTCAGTATGCAGGGCATGCTCACTCAGAAATGTCCCTAAGCACGACATTACTCAGGCATCAGCCCCATTATGCTGAATGGCATTTACTCTCCATGCAAGGAGCTTGGGGTTGCTGCTTTACAGCACAGGGCTATGTTTGCTCAGAAGTCCATCCCATTGAGCTCAGCTTCCTCTCAGGAGGCAGGTACAGGATGGCAGCTCTGTAGTGCCTTCCTATACATACCTTCTCAGAATTAAATCCCATTGAGTGCTATGGAGCTTACTCCCAGGTAAGACGCAGCAGACTACAGCCATACTATCTTATTTGCATTACCATTCCATGGCAGATTAAGGAACAAATTCTGTGAGTTCTGGGAGAGATTGTGTGTGTGTGTGTGTGTGTGTGTGTGTGTGTGTGTGTGTTTGCAAAGTCCTTGGAGTTAAATTCAGTCTGGGAGCCCTTCTGAATTATGTCATTATGTCAACACCCAGAATAGCTAACACTGGTGAATCTTCTTCCCCATATACACAGTCCAAACTTGCACTTCAGGTTCTCTCGCAAGGATGCTTGATCAGCATGTTAAAGAACTCTGGGGTTGTTCGGTGCATTATCCTTCTTGGTTTGTCCCCTTTGGCCTAGCTAGAGTCCTCCGGGGAAGGAGCCAGCTTGTGCAACTTGGTGCTCACGACCCTGAATGCAGCTTGGAAGGCAGCCCAAAAGCAGAGCTTCCTGCAGGCATGGAAGCCTGTCCAGAACACCGTTCCTCTGGTGGAAGGGACCTACACCAGCACTGTCTGCCCAGCCTAGCGGCTTAGGAGATGGAGGTGTGGCAGGGCATGAACCATCCTTGTGCTTTCCACAAACCACCGCTCCCAATTAAAGACAGGATTTATTCAGGGACGAAGGGAAAGCAGAAAGGAGTCTTAAGCTTGCTGTCCTACACTGAAAGTCCACATATGGGCCGCCCAGGGAGATTCAGCATGTGTACTCACTGAATGGACAAGGGCACACTCTGAACCATTTTCAAAGGCAGGCCCACAGAGAGTATACTGCAGCAGCCCAACTTGAGACTTACTGCACCATAGCCTACTGAAGCCAGGTTATTTCATCCAGAGAGGGGCACAGCAGGCCACCAGCTGAAGCTGGCAATGTTCCATGCCACCCGAGCCTCAGGTGACAGAGGTGGCTCCAGGAGAAACCCCAGAGACAAGCCTGGCCCCTCAGGGAGAGGGCAACCCCATCCAGAACAGGTTGAGCACTCCCCAGCTGGTCAACAGAACCATCTCACTCTTGCCTGGACTGAGCTCGTGTGCTGGCCCTGCTCCCGTCCACGGCTGCAGCCACATGCTGATCAAGCTCACCCACAGCCTCACCTGATGAAGATGAAAAGGAGAAGCAGAGCTGTGGGTCATCCACCTTCTGATGCCAATGAACTCGAAAACTCCAGGGGACCCCACTCACCACTGACATCTTGGCGGAGCTCCCTCCGCTGCGCCAGTCAGTGCCATTTAAATTTCAAGCAATGCCCTCATCTCAAGGGCATCCCAGAGGGAAAGATACTGAAAATGAGGCACGTACAGTTCCCATGTTGCCCTCCAGCAGGGCTGCCTTGGGAGTAGGCTGGTCATAGGAGTGCCACTGTTGCTGCCCACTGCTTCCAGGCATACCTAGTTGGGGAGCCATTAATAGAAATGGACCCCAGCCTTGGCAGGGCCACAAAGAAAGCTGTAGAGGTTTCTACACAAGGGATAATAAGCTTTGCTTTGGCTGCAGGGCCCTGCTTTCCAGGCTATTCATAGATTATGACCAGATGGAGAGCCGTGTGGTGTAGTAGTTGAGAACATGGGACTGGGACTCGGACAATCTGGGTTCTAGTCCCCGCTCAGCCATGGAGCCAACTGGGTGACTTTGGGCCAGTCACAGATCCTCAGCCCAACCTACCTCACAGGGTGGTTGTTGTGGGGATAAGATGGAGGAGGAGATGTAAGCTGCCTTGAGCCCTTGGTAGGAAAAAGGCAGGATATAAATCGAAAAATAAATAAATATTTTTGAACCACTGAGGTAAACCATCTCAGACTTCAAGGTCATAATAGACACACACAAACAATGCAACGGGCCTTTTAGGTTAAATCTGAATAGCAAGGCCCCCTACAAATGTAGAGCTTCTATCCACCCTGCAATGTAATTACACAATGTCGTAGCTGGGGTCTCTGGGGTGGTGGGTGCACTCTTTCATTTATTCTTTTTAATTATTGTGTTCTTGTTATGTTCTATTATTATTGTTGTGATTGTATTTATGGTTTTTTTGTTCTAAAAAATAAAAATGAGGGAAACAAAGTTGCAGCTGGAGCATTTCAGGTTTTGTTAATTGCTTGGTCTTCTTTGCTTGCTTTTAGCAAAGTTACTTTCTGACTACTGTTTTACTTATGGTATTTCCATAAAACTTCATTGCTCCCTGTTGCACACTGTCCTTCTATATGCAAGGGCAAGGAGCAACCTTAGCAAGTAGTCTTTAAGCCTCAACAGGGAGACCAGGCGTGAGCTACACTTGCAAGCTTGCACACTGGCTCCAGCAGAAAAATGGGCTGCCCATTCCTTCCCACCGGGCTGGACAGGTTACAACTGCCTGCCTGAGTCTGGTGCCCTCCCGATGTGTTGGACAACAATTCCAAGTGTTTTAAAAATAAATCCCAACCCAGCCCAGCCTGCCATGATACTTTCAGCAGCAGTTTGACCTTCAGGAATCACCCAGTGAAGGTTTCCCAGCAAGGAAATAACATTATCATCTGCTAGTATTTGTGTACTAAGCACTTACTAAAGGCACAGAAGTGGAAAGTTCTAGATGGATGTGCCAAGGTAAATGACTTTGAAAACTCTGAAACCAGTGTAAACTGTGGCAGCTGTTTGTTCACCAGAATAGGCTGCAGAGAATATGGCTCATTCCTTTGAAAGGCTCAGGGGCTCCCAGATAGGTTGAGAGAGGAGTCCGAGAGGAATTCAATATGCAACCTCAGTATAGGTTCCTTAATAGGAATGCTGTTTCCTGCATTAGCTCTGTGTTGCCATCCGATGAAGCCCCGTTTTGGATGCCACAGCCTAGCTGGGCTAGAAAAATGGTGGCAAGTGATGAGGCCTTCTTGACAGCAGCCCCTGCATTATGGAACACCCCACCCAAGCAGTCCTGTCAGACCACTCTCCTTATGTTTTTAATAGAAGGCACTAGGAAAACCTTAGCTGAACAGTTTTTATCTCACTGTGATCTTTTAGTCTGTACGGCAGATGGCTTTTATCTATTGCATAGCAGTGTATACTGAGGTTGATTTCTGAGTCACCTAAGGCAGTGGTTCTGAACCTTTCCTACATCATGGACTCCCTTTAAATACCTTTTGTGGCTGCAGACCACCAAGACCTAACTCAATATTTAAAGCAATAGACTACATCAAATATCTATTTCAATCTTCTCATGATGAGCCTTCCAATTTGGAGAGACGGGGAAATAAGTTAGTCTGTTAAGGCACACACTCCTGTTATAATATCTTTATTGCAATGATTCCATATGACTGTCAAATACCTGGTTCCAGCTTGCTGTAGCTCCAGTTTGTTAGCAGCACACATGTTTTTCCTGAAAAACCCCTGGCCTCAATCTCTGGCATCTCTGGATGGGGCTAGTAATGAACCTTGCCTGATTCCTGGAGACATGGTACAACCAAGACTGAACATGACCTTACTCAGTGTAAGCTGGTTTCCTACCATCCTAACTTCTGAACTTGCATGGTGCAGTTGAAAAGAAACACAACACAACACAACACAATACACACAGCCATAGATACAACTTACCTCTGCCGGTAATTGCGGTACTCTTGTTCTCGTCTGTTATTGATCTCTGGCAGTTCAGAAGGCCTGAAGGCATTTTCAAATTCCAGAGAATTAACATGGCCAAAGAGTTGCTTCTGAAAGGGCAGGTTTATCCTACTTCCCATCTCACATTTGCAGGAATTCTTAGGAAGAAGACTGTGAAGGGGATGGAGATGTGTGAATTAACATTGTTCCAGGATCTTCTCTGGCCAGGTACACCAAATTTATAGCTAAGCCCAGGTACTCATTGCCTTGTGTAAAGTTGCATCCATCCCTAGCTTCGGGTATGCAGGTACTCAATGGTGGGGGGGAGGGGGAGTGTTGGAAGCTGACGTTGAGCACAGAGAATGGCAGAAGATACAGTTGACTCTAATGGGTAACTTGCAGTACACTAGCAAAGATTTCTGACTCCCAGTGACAGCAACAAACTCACACCAACCCACTCTGAGAACAATGAGCAACCCATGATCCACTCAACAGGCAAGTGGGTTCACTGTGGGTTGCCCCTCCTCTGCCCCTTGGTTCTCCTGCCAGTATCTCAAGGGACATAACAACTCAAGCTCCCACCTCCTCTGATAATCCCTTTTTGCAGTTGATGTGGCTTAACCTCTGCTCTTTCTTATCACCTGGAGATTTTTTTTGGCAATCTCTGTGGTGACAGCCATGAAATCTCTTTAAATCCCTATCAAAAAACCTATTTTAAAAGAAATCTTTACTTTTGGCAGGTGTCAAGGGTAATTACTCCCACTAAGGAGACAGGCTGCACTTTCCTACCTTCCTAAGAACATGGAGGCTTACAAAACAGTGGGAGAGGTGGAGAATACGGAGAACTGTCATGTTCACACTTAAGATCTACAGGAGATCACTGTGAAGAAGCTGATGTAATCACTACCCCTTTCCCAAGCAAAGATCTTCTAGGACTTTTGTTTTATGCTTGACAACTCACAATTTGATGGCTGTCAAGTGAAACCAAAGTAATGTATTTGAATCCTGGCTTGTCAAAGTCCATGGATGTTGTCTGCTTTGGCAGCAGGAGCTTATCAGGACATTGACTAATTAACAATTCCCATTTTAAGTAGCCAGGGTTGTGCATTACCAATCATTTTTTAAAAAATGACAAGAACTATAACAATGTGCGTATTTCTGGTGAACAAAAAAATAAAAAGGTGGCAAGCAACTGATGGCTGCTGTAGTGTGCTGTTTGGGCACGTTGGAGGGGCTTCCACTACCTGCCACTTTGGAGATGGCAAAAAGCAATCTCTGACAAAAATGGGGGAGAAGGTGCAACCACTGCAAAGGAGTTGAAACCAGCACATGTGAGAGCAAGCCACTGAGGGATCCTGCAAAGCGCAGTGGTGGTGGGTCAGCTGCACTCGGCAAAAGTGGCAAGAGGTTGTTGTCATTCTTGCTCAACATCTTGCTCACCGCTTCCATGAACCCATGATGGGACTGGTGTGCTGGATAATGACAGCCCATCATGGGTCCAGTAACCCCAAGAACAAGCCATGGCTTGCTGCCCCCAAATAATCCATTCTGTGAGAAGGAGTCCAGCACATCTCACCATGGTTACCTGGATATCTAGATTGTACTGCTAAAAGAGGAAAAGCTTGGGGAAACTGGCATGTGGAAAGATTAAGAACTTGCTTCAGTCTCATCTTCAAAACAAATCCTGAGCATTCTCTAGCTCTGTCCTTTGCATCAGGCTGTCATGGGCGGAACATGGGGTTCTACTTAAAAACAGATTGTGCAAGCCTAAAGTCTGCCCAGACCAAGTGCATACCAATTATCATTTCTAACACATGTGTAATGCAACTCTGCTCCCAAATGCAATATAAAGGCAGTGTTCTTTGAGGGATGGATGCAAGCAAACTGGGGCCACGGGGAACTAGCGAACAGGGAGGCCCTTACTCCAGGATCTCCTCCTTGATTCGGAAAGCAATGTGTGCATATTTCTTGTCAGGCACCAGGAGGCGATCACTCAGCAGCTGTTCAGGCCTTTGTTCAGGCCGACGACGCAAGTCCACTGTACTGTACGGCTTCGGTGACCACACATGAAGGTAGAGAAAGGCAAAGGATGCTGTCAGCACCATCAGTGCGCACAAGAACTTTTGGACTGGATGCATCCTAGAGGGCTGAGGATGGGGAGTTGGGAAAGAGAAGGAATGTTTTAGGAAAGAAAGCAGAGTCCTGGATAGGTTAAGCAATGAAAAGCCTCCCAGCTCAGATCCAGTGGGTGGCCTTGAGTCTGTCCTTATCCCGGAGCCTAATATTCCATCAGGTTACAGAGAAAGTGAGCAAAGAGAGAAGCAAATCTAATCCAAATCTAATTCCTGAGACCCCAACAAAATTTGGCTCTCCCCAGCTCTCACCTAGCTAGACCTCAAGATGCTTGAGAAAATGAATAGTAACAGTATACTTCTAAGAACCTTTAACAGAATATTCTCCACAACAGGCCTGGTTGCTGCTTCTTATGGAAGTGGTGCAACCGAAGTACAATAGCTTTGCAAGTTGCACAGAATAAATGCAGTGCAAATACATTAACAGTGCAATGCTGTGTTATTCAGAGGTTAGTTCAGTGGGACCTATCCCCAGCAAAGTGTATACAGTCCTGTGGTCTAAGCATATTTAGTACCTGGAGAGGTGACCTTGAATTGTCATTATCTTTCACTCTAATTATTCCATTAAGCTGCAGAACATAGAAGAAGTTGAGAACTGCAGGGCTAGTCCAGCAGCTCTCCTGAGACATCATACAGAAAGATAGAATAGTAGAGTTACAAGGGGCCATGAAGGCCATTGAGTCCAATCCCCTGCTGTTGCAGGACACCAAGTTACACACAGATGGCTGTCCAGTTTCTTTCTGAATGCCTTTAGTGTGGGGGAGCCCACCACCTCTCTAGACAACTAGTTCCACAACTAGTTCATATTGCTCTGACAGTGAGGAAATTTTTCCTGATATCTAGCCTAAAGCTGGGTTGTTGCAAGTTGACTTGAGTCCATGTTCTGTTTTTTGGTGTTTCCCAAGACAATCCTATCAGGTCATCTGAACTGTTTACATTCCAGCTGGTGATAAGAATTGTAACTTTAAGACACATGTATGAGCATGCTGCCCCTAGCTCAACTTTCATCTTCTGCCATTTCCCCTTGAGTGTCATGTCTTTTAGATTGTAAGCCTGAGGATGGGGATGGCTTTAGAAAGGATACCTGCAATTCATTATGGAAGCTGTTTTGGCTAATGAGAGCAGAAGGCAGAAAAAAGCATCGAACAAATAACAAATAGCTTAAATAGGAGGAGACTGTGGTAGCTGCCTTGAATTTCCTGGAGAAAGGATCTGATAAAAAGGAAAGAGACAGAAGCTGCAGAGTGCTTAGCTTCTCCACCACTCCGACTTTCCATCAGTCCCTGTTAAGGTTGCTGAAAGTTGGTAGCTTGGGCTTAGAAGGAGCCAGGCAGCACAGAACACTACAGGTCAGCCCAAAACGCTAGTGATGCAAGGGAAGAGGTGAAGCCAGGACACCTTGGCAGACAGGCAGGGGTTATTTCTGGCAACTCTGTTGTTTCTGGGAACTCGGTCCTCCTTTGCATTAGGGTAAGGTTCAACTGGGCCGGGTAGAACACGCCATCTGCTATCACCTGCGCTGGCTTCCCCACCGCTTCCCACACTGCCTGCCTGCAAGAAGGCATAGCAGGCACTCCGTAGTTGCTTGGTCCCAGGTATGTGCTTCTTGGTGTGCTGTTCCATTTATGGAGGTCGTATCTTGTCAAAAAGTTGGCTATACCTCTCTTAAACAAAACAGACAAGTGTGAAGACTAGAACAGCACCAGAATAATTTCAGTAACAGCTGAGAGTGCCCCCAAATGAATTGGTAGACTCTCTGCCCATTTTTAACAATAAACATGCAATACAGATTGCCTCTGAGCTGTGCGGACTGCTCCTCCAGGCATTCTCAGGCAGAGCTGATAACAATGGCCCATGGTGGAAACAGAAAAGACACATATTGACCGTTGGAAGCACACCAGGAAATTCATGCTAAAGGGGCAGATTCATGTCGCAATGTCATGAGAATGGTAGTAAGGCTCTTAAAAAATCTTTCAAGCCTCACCTGAACCTGGTCTTAGATTCCTGGGCAGGCTTGCATATTGCTCCAACCCACCCAACCAAGAAGCCACAATGGGATAATTGTCGTGTGAACAACCCATGGATGCACCTGACAGATGATCAGGCTTGCGCTCTGCTCACATTTGCGCGCTCGCTCGCTCGCTCGCGCTCTCTCTCTCTCTCTCTCTGTTCTTGCTCAACCTCCCAGGGCACAGTGCAGCAAGACAGTGGGATTCCCTCATGCCACAGCTGTGAGTCATTTTCAGGTTGCTGCAGCTTTTTTTTTCTTTGCCCCCTCTTTATCTTGGGAGATGGGAGTTCTCTGGTTGGCTTTCATGCTCCCCATTTTGACAGTGACTGACTGCACTTTCAGAGTGTCTGAGCAGCCCCTTGAAGAGCTCTGTCTGTGGTGGAAAACAATGTTCTTAATGTGGGAAAACTACCTAATGTGCACAATTTTTTGCACATTTTCCAAGGAAAAGCCTGAAGTCTAGCAGTTCACCTATGAACTAATTCATACATTTAAGACTCCACCCCATGACTGTTTAACATTATTTAGGAAGTTTAAAAGCTGCTGAGAAAAAAAGGGAGAGAAGCAAGAGATCCATATGTTAAAATAGGATTGAAGGAACCCTAAAAAGGCTGCTGGGGATCTGCCCAGTCCTTGGAGTTCAGAGTAGGAGTAGTTTGTTTGTAACTTATTTATTTGTGGGAAGCCTCCATGACCTCCTAAGGGAAGGATGATGCTTTTACTTAACTGTTTTTGCAAGAACGGCTTGACTGTGTTCCCTCATCGACAGAAGGGGCTCTCGTGCTGATCTCCCCCAAGAATCTTACTAAACATTTAGTACATTGAGGAATCCCACACTGGAGACATGCAAGGCCAAACTGGACAGCCACCTGAGTGGGATGGTGTAACGAGCTGTCCTGCAATAGCAGGGGGTTGGGCTCGATGGCCTTCATGGCCCCTTCCAACTCTGCTATTCTGTGATCCTATTCATGGACTACATACGGTGGAGCCATATGTGTGCCTGTTCTGAGCACAGTCCTGAGGCATGGCAGCAGAACTGGGCAGAGCACAAGAGACCTGCACTGGACAGATGAGCACAGCCTGCTCTTCTGAGCCATGTCCAGCCACAGCCGCAAGAGTCACCCTGGTCTACCAGGCCTCCTACGCGTGAAGAGCCCTCCAACTTCTGAGTCACCCGCTCCTGCTAAGCAATTGAGTTTCTTTGGGCTTGGTTGCCTCAGCCCTCCAATTTTGGTCCTGATGATGCCAAGAGGTTGTTCAACTTCCTCCTTCAATCCCAAATGCAATTGCAGGAGGATCTGGAAGAACTGCAAAGAGGATGTGTGCAGTGAAATGGCCCTTTCTGAGTTTGCCTTTGTGAAGTCCCATTAGCTACGGGAAGAGAAAAGAGCTGAGATACTTTAAGAAAGGGAAAGCATAATTGACAGCCCCTCCTGCCCACTCCCTGAACAAAAAATTATGGCTGCTGCTGCTTGTGCCTGCCCTCCTAACCCTCCCAGCACCAGGTCCCCCTCCACCCAAAAGCAAGCGAATGCAAGCTCCTGCCCTGTGGGCTTCCTCAGAAGTTAGCTCCACTGAAGTATAGTGGGACCTCCATATCTGCCTGAAATTGCAGATAGTAGTAGAGACTATATACTGTACAGTTGGCCCTCCAGATTCACGAGGGTTCAGGGTGCAGGACACCCTCAGAAGTTAAAAACCCATGAATACCTCTATTCCCCCCATTGCTTCTCTCTCCCTCTCCCTCTCCCTCTCCCTCTCCCTCTCTGTGGGTGTGGGTGTGGGTGTGGGTGTGGGTGTGTGTGAGAGAGAGAGAGAGAGAGAGAGAGGGAGCAAGCGAGAGCAAGAGAGAGCGCCAGGTGGGTGGGGGGTGGCAGGCCCTTCTAGGCTGACTGTGGCCGGCCAGGTACGTGGTGCCTGGGAAGGGGAGCACTGAGTGTGGAGAGGCACAGCACTGGCTGCACAGGCCTGCTCCCTCTCCCAGGAATGTTCTATTTAATTTTTTCAGACTCAGTCAACCATGGTTAAGCATAACCGTGGTAACTGAAATACGGGTGCAGAGGTTTAATGTAAGTGCACTTTAATTGTGAGCAAGGCCACTGGAGATAACCTGATTTACTTCTGCGGGGAGAAGCCTTTCAGTTCCTTGTTTCTTGAGGGAGAAGCCAAAGCAAACACTGGAGGGCTTGTCAAGGAGAGGGCATTTTCAAGGCAGAGTGAGAATGAAAGAGAAGCCCTGGGAAGATTGAACTAGGGTAGGTCCCTTCCTCTTCTCCTGCTCCCCACAGCCTACTAGCTGACTGAAAGCCTCCTGGCCCAGGGAGAAAATGAAAACATATTTAAAAGCCATGATCTCACAGGGCTGAAGAAATCCAGGATAGTACAGGTTGAGCCAGGCACCATGTGACAGGCCGGTGAGCTGGACACGACAACGCTGGTAAGAATGCCCTAGTGTAAATGGCCCTGTGGCTATTTTTTGTGGCTGCCCTTCCAGAAGTCGTGTGCCAACACAGTTGCAAGTACTTCAGAGCAATACTTGCTCAGCACTGCTCTCTCCCCAGAAAGACTGGTGGCATCACCCCCTGGATCCCTGCACAGGCAGCCCCTAAAAAACACCACCATCACTTTCTGGATAATGCTGTCCAATGAAGCAGGGAGCAGAGAGGCAGGTGCCGCCTTGTGCCAGAAGCTTCTAGATATATGTTCACTGTCAGCTCCCATTCAGTCGTCACCACGAGTTACATGGGCTACACATGGAGTAGGCAATCTGCAGCCTTCCAAATGTTTTGGACAACCATCATCCCACCATCCCTCACCTGGCTCAAGTTGATAGAAGAGATCGACCACAAACTGCCCACTCTTTGTCTATCACCAAATCCTGTGTTCCAGCACATCTTCCTGCTCAGCTGGAGACTCGCACCTCAAGAGTTTGTGTCAGGCATTTCTCAACTGCAAACAGATGCCAGCTCTGTCCCCATTTCCACCCAGGCAGCATCATTTCATG